GTTAGAACACACCCTATGCATGGGAGTCTGCAAACCCAACACAGGCTTCGGCAAAAGCTGCAGAGGAAGTCCCTTAACAAGCTGGGCCAACACTGCTCTTTAAGGCATTGGCATCAATTTCAACTTAGCCATCTTGTTGGCAACACACAATTGTGACGAGCAGAGTAGTTGTAGCTGCAAAGACGACACTCCTTGTTGAAAAAATTCGTGAACCTTTATATATACCACATGGAACCACGGTCACAGAGCTCAGCTCCAAATCGTGATACTTTTGTAGCGGCGTCGGTGGAGGCCGCTGCACGACGCATAAGCCGGCCTGTGTGAGGCACGATGCGCGCCGCTCACAATAACCGCATGCAGTGCCAGCCTCTGGCGGTTAGGGGGCGAAAGCGCCAGGGACGGTTTAGGGGGCCTGGTGACCGGAGGCTACCGGCAAAGGGGCCCCAAGGAGGGGGCCGGGGGGACCACGGGACCAGGGGGACCACGGGACCGGGACCAGATCCCACTCGAAGGCTCGAGAAGGGAGGCGTGGCCAGGGGCGGAGGATGCCCTTGGACTGGCAATATAAGCCGGACCCCTGAACTGGTCCGGGGGCTGTTACTGTGACAAGACTGAAGACCTAAGACCGAAGCCGTTATACGGAATAGACCTGCCCGACTACAGGACCCGGACCCGAGCCAGGGTCCGGTCCGAGATAGCCACCCCGTGTGAGCTATGGTTAGCTAGGGTGAGCTAGGGTGAGCCACCCTGTGTGAACTAGGGTTAGCTAGCCTGTGTGAGCAAGGGCTAGCCACCCCGTGTGAGCTAGGGTTAGCTAGGGTGAGCTAGGGTGAGCCACCCTGTGTGAGCTAGGGCTAGCCACCCCGTGTGAGCTCAGGTTAGCTAGCCCGGAGGAGATACCTCCCGAGGGTAGCTGGTGAAGGGGCAGCTATACCCCTTGGTTTTTAGGGCGTATCGTAATAAACGTGTTGCCTCCAAGAAGTATCTGCCTCCCTCGTGTGAACCACTACAGTTTTATTTCAAAACCTGGTTGGGATGCCATAGCCCACCACCCTCCAGAGCATATAAGGACCACTTTTTGTGGGAAGTCATCATTGGGTATTTTTGGCCTCATCCATGGGAATGTGCCATTTCGAGTACTGATACCACACTGCTAAATAAATGCACCTGGAGATGTTATATAAAGAGGAACCCCCCTCATTGTCATCTCATGGGGCTTACAGTAGCATTATAAATAAAAAAAATCCAAGTTTGGGCTCAGGTCAGTTCCTTCACTGCATGCTTGCTCTTCAGTTTGTAATTTATGGTTTACAAGTTGTTAAACTATGCCTATTATAATGGAAGCGTGTATGAACAGATGTGCATTCACGACCTTATGACAAGCACATGTTACAATATAAATAACTATTACATATTAAGGGATTGGGTTGGCAGCAGTGAACAAGCACAACTTAAAACAAGTCACCACCTTCCCAATTAATAGCGCCCTGTAACAGAAAGCTTATGCAGTCGAGTAAGTAGGCTAACGTCCTAGGCAATAGCCCTTCTTCAGAGCAGAAAGAGAACAAAAGGATTGTTGCTCTTGTAGATTCTCGTAGAGTCGATGAACTGTATACAAGGCAGCAGAAGCAACGTTTACCGCTCTTATGCAAGAAATAAAGCAGGCAAAGAGGAAGACCCACTTGAATATTTTGTTATATAAAAACTGTTTATGCAAAACTGGTTTCTAGGCGTCAAAGTGCCAAATCTGATCTTCTACCATATGTCAATCCTATAATCAAGATGGGCTATCGCACAAAAGGCCATCAACAGGGGTTGGCAACCAAAATAACAAGAAAAAGCACTCAATACTTCAAGAGTCGCAATGCATGTGAATACGAGACGGTGACCGTAAATAAATAACGTCACGAAGCAGTCCTTAAAGGGCCGCATGCGGCTCCGCTGCCGCAGGTTGCCGACCCCTTCGGCTGCTCTATGATTAACATTTATATCGCATATATACTTCTGTTACAAGTGAATGCCAATGAGGAACGAGGTTGCTTTTTATGTTATCGCACTTGACGCAGTACAAAGTACAAACGCCTTGGTGCAGTGTTCACACAGCTGCGACTGCACCCTGTGTATCAACAGCGCGCGCTTTAAGACACAACCCAGGAAGCAGCACTCATCTTTTAGAGACAACTCGGTTGCTGCTTGCATGCCGGGCAATACGATCCGAGCTGGAATCTTTGTTAATGAAAAACCATACTCAAGTCACGGTCCAACCCGTCACTGTCAGTCTACGAGTGAGCTCACCGTGACAAATATCCCAGTACCCCATACGCGTTACTGTAATACGGACAAAGCAGCGATGTCACTATGATGGAGCGCCTGTGATGATACAAAAAAAATAGATTTAACGAAGCGGGAGCCGGTGACCATCTGGGTTCGTGTTTCCCTGCCAAGGCTAACGTCAGTGGCACGTTATGTCTAAACATGTTCGGGGCCCCTCCACCTTCGCCACCAAGCCGCACCGACCAGAGTGGTGAAGTGTGACCAAACTACTCCCAAGATCCTCGCTGTTTGGGGATGGTGGGGGAGGCCCTTCACCCAGCAGCCGATTGACAAGGGGGCTTAAAAGTTATTACTCGATAGTCATTCGTTATGTTGCGCAACGGAGTCGTGGTTCCATGCAGCCTAAGCTTGTATGGGTATTTAACTGGTCTGCTTGCGTCTTCCTTTCACACGACAGCACGGCGACGTGATTATAAAACTACGACCGTAACTTTAAAGTCTCCCAACCTCCCTCCACCCCTCATTTACGAATCTTGCAAGTGGAATCTACAAGAACCTTAAAAAAAACAAAAACGTCGTTCACGTATACCTGAGCAATTATCATGCACCGAAGCGCCCGCATATCCTTGTCAAACAAACAAAAGGACCCCCCACCCTAACTGCAATTAATTGACGAACATTCACAACATTTGTTTCACGCTTAAAACCACTCAGCTGTCATAACGACAGGGCCGCACTGTACGTACAGTGCGGCTCCGCTAGCGCAGGCCGCTGGCAGGGGAAGGTTTATTCACAATGGGGTGGTTCAGGGATTGCCAGGCGACGAGGGAAAGGAGGAGAAGGAGGAGGTGGTGGTGGAGGAGGGATGAGTGGGGGACAGTGTTTATCCCAGACGCGCGCCGGGGTTCGGGTTTGACTCTCACCCCAGATCGTCCAGAGACTCCGCGATGTCACCCTCCATCGCGGCTCCGAGGCGCGGCACTGCGCATGCGCGGGCGGCTCCTCATTCACGTGGGGGGGGGGGGTGTGCCACGTGGGGGGGGGGGGGGTGCCACGTGGGGGGGGGGGCAGGTAGAGGGGTGCCACGTGGGGGGGTGGTGCCACGTGGGGCGGTGCCACAGAGGGGGGGGGAGGTGCTACGTGGGAGGGTGCCACGTGGGGGGGGGGGGGCACGTGGGGGGGGCACGTGGGGGGGGTGCCACATGGGGGGGGGTGCCACGTGAGGGGGGGCAGGTTGGGTGCCACGTGGGGGGCGGTGCCACGTGGCAGAAGGGTGCCACGTGGGGGGTATGCAACGTGAGGGGGGTGCCACGTGGGGGGAGGGGGGGTGCCACGTTGGGGAGGGGGGGTGCCACGTGAGGGGGGGGGCAGGTGGGGGGGCGCCGCGTGGGGGGGACGGGGCTGTGACAGCCCCCAACCATAGCAGCCCCAGAGCCTTGCACTGAGCCATAGCCACACATCATTGGCTTCTTCTATACACTATTAGCTTCTTCTATACACTATTCGTTTCTTCTATGCACTATTGCTTCTTCTGTGCACTATCAGTTCATTCTATACACTGTTCGTGTATTCTATGTATGCACTATTAGTTTCTTCTATGCACTATCAGTTCATTCTATACACTATTCGTTTATTCTATGCAATATTAGTTTCTTCTATGCAATATTAGCTTCTCCATGCACTATTCGCTTCTTCAATATACTACTAGCTTCTATACACCAGGGACGTGCGGTCAGGGGAGGCAGAGCCTCAGCTGCCATACTCCAATGAAAATAGCTGTTACGAAAAGTAAAAAAAAAATAATAAAATCAGTATTAAGATTTTTCCACTGATCTGTGTTATAAATGTCATTTCTGTACGGTTCCAATCATTTTTATAGTCAAAATCGCCAAATTTGCGGAGCTCCGCTGCAAATACAGGAAGAGACGAGAGGTGAGGCAGCGACGAGCTCAGCCTCCCCTCTGATTGCGCAACCCCTCAGTAACTGGATGGAGCGCAGTATGTCACCAATGTAATGTTTGTAGATCCCTTCATTTCATGTCCTCGCCTTCCATACTCCAGGTAACTTATTTCACGTATGTGTATAAAGATATTTAGGCTCGCTGGTCTCGTCATGAAACTGCAATGAAAAAGCACCAGGGGAGGCAGCTATCACATCTGCCTCACTGAGGGGGACGTGTCTAACACGCCCCCCTCAGTGAGGCCACGCCCCCCTCAGTAAGGACACGCCTCCTCAGTGTGTGAATCTGGCTCTGACAACAGCCATTGACCTCACCGCACGTCACTGCTATACACCATGAGCTTCATCTGTACACTAATAGCTTCATCTAGACACTGCTAGCTTCATCTATACACTTTTACCCCTATCTATACACTCTTATCCATAGCCATACGCTTAGCTTTTCCACTACCAACCTGACTACCGGGCTTACGCGGAGGGTTGGGGGGTGGGGTGCGTGACGTCAGCAGGCACACTGCGTGACGCTGCCGCATGCGGGTGACATCACAGATGTGACGTCACCCCCCATTATTGCGCCCCCCCCCCCCAAAATACAAAAGGCGATTTTTATACTTTTTGCATTGTGTACAGTCTGGAAGCTACCCACATGCCACATTTCAAGTTTGTTGCATGTTTGGAAGTATGATGAACATTTCGAACAGGCACATTCACAAATTTCATTTTTTATCGATTAGACATAACCATAGCTCTTGCTATATGCTAAAGCTATATTGTACTATACACATTCTATAAATACATCTTCGCTTGATGGCAAATTGAGAACAGTCACCTGTACAGTAACTTTATTTTAGGCATTAACCCTAGACACACGAACATCACGGGAAAACTGCACAGTACACAGAGTTGTACATTCAACAGTTACAAACATTTGAGCTCACTGTGGGGTTATTAAGATTTAATTGTACAGGGTGATCCATGCGTGCATACTCCAAACTGAAGTTTAATTTACCCTCTGTCGTTCAAGAGGCGATGGAATAGCGTGAAAGTCATTGTTCCATATCTTACGGAAGTGAGCGTTAAAACATCGAACAAGTGCATTGATATTTGTGGGAGACACGCAGAGGCTTTGAAATAAAATGTTTATAATTTCGCCTTACTTTAGTAGGGCATCGATAAACGGATCGGCCTTCCTTGCAGCAATACACACACACACTTGAGTCTCCGTGTTCACTGCGGCCGCTTCTATGTCTCTACGTGTGTGGACAGAGGTGTAGGGCAGAAGTTACGGACTCGGCGACCCGAGTTCGATTTCCACTCGTGACTAATAACAGTGGCAAATAGGTCGAACCGATCCTGGGACTCCCCGTACGTCGACTCAGCCTTAAATGAGTACCGAGTACTGTGTGCAAACAGCAGATCTGGGGAGAAAAAGTGGCCGGGCGTGGCATTGCCCCCCCCGCTCCCTCTCGTGTTCCGTGCTGGCCTTAATAGGTGCTCGCTAACAGCACTTGCTCCAACAGCCTAACGAAGGCTATACAGGAGGATCCTTGAGAGAGAGAGATGAGAGAGATGAGCATGGGGCTGGTCTATACGGATGAAACGTAACGAGCGCCTCTCTCCATGCTCATCGCGCAGCGAGTGAACTCGGCCACGATTCTGTTCTCCCGCAGCGAGCGCGCGTCCGAGCGTCGGGACGCGCGCCTCGCCGTCCTGCGGAAGGCGCGTTGCCCGTCCAGGAGCTCCCTGGCAGCGGAGGGGTCGGGTCAGAGAGGGAGGATGGGGTGGGATGGGTTGGGGCAGCGTTTTTTTATAGATGGTACGGTAACTCGCAGGTCCAGCTGAACTCAGGAAGAGGAGTGTTACACACCGCTCACCTAGTTCCAATCTACATCCAATGGCAATTTTGCACCACCTACTACCTCGTTTAAAGGAGAGGGCATACACATAACTCAGCGGGGAGCGTTGTTGTTGTTAGTGACTTGACTGCAGTATACGAATTCAGAAGGCTGGCTAAGCTTTCAGTCGGAAGGGGCTCAGATGGCATCGCAGGTTATGCGAGCATAGAAGTACCGCACAACAATGTATTTCGCAGCGTTACCCTTTGCCATCCACCATGCATCCCCACAGTCTATAGCCTACAACAATCTCCTATGCGCGGTGATCGCCCGACCCAAGCATCATCCAGGCTCAATCCTGCTGCTTAGATTGCGAAAAATGATGATATCGGGCACATTCCGGGTGATTCGGCAATAGGCATTGCTCTTATACCTGTAGTTAATCCAGCCACTTCCGTCTCTGTCCAGCGCCGAGATGAGCTCCTCTAACGCCTGCTCCTCCAGGGGTGTGCTTAGTTGCTGAAAAAGCAGATGTCATCATTATCGGCACCCAGAGATGTCAGAGGCCTACACAGGTGATGAGCAGGTGGTGTCAGGCATGTGTTCACCTGCATGGCGCTCCTGAAGACATCCTGGGTCACCGACATTGTCCCGCTTTTGTCCATGTTACGGAAGAAGTCCCAGAGACGCAGCTTATTCTTGAGAAGGTGCCCCTGTTGTGGACACCAGAAAGCGAACACGATTGGCACGGGATACACATATGATGACCTACACTGACTGTTGGAAATAAGAACACGTTAATGTCAAAATAATTGTGCAAGTTGCACTTGAAAAAACACATTCTGCTTCTTATCTTTATTTAACCTCAACAAAACTCTTGAGATGGATATCTCATGTCCAGCAGGGCAGTCCTGACGTGATGGTCAAGATAAATCAGTTCCATGGCAACACATAACTGAAAAAATAATGCATAGCGCAACCAATGTTAAAATAAAATATAACAGAATGTGGAGTGAAGCAGTGGGTTAGTGGATCGCGTGCTGCACTGTTAACATGACGACCGGAGTTAAGTTCCCGGCCACGGCTGGCATTTGTAGCGAATGATATCTGAACTGGACCTGTTCTCCTCCCTTCACCAAACAGCACTGACCAGCACGGCAAAGCATGCTCAAAACATCACCATGTCTGACATGGCATGCGGAGACCTTCATGGCCATTGTGGACTTTCTGAAAGAAAGGAAGCTAGCCAAAAGCCATTCTGAAACCCGGAATACCGCAAGACTTTCCCTTAATTTAGCTCCTGAACATCTTACCCACGCACAAGAATAGAATGGTGGACCCGGGGGATGTCAGGTAATTTTATGTATTTATTTAAATCGATATGGGGGTGTCGAGAATTCACAGATGCTTCGTCTCATTCAATGTAATCCCGAGAAAATACCCCGGCATGTCCTGTGGCCGATTTACAGCAACACAAACGAGGTGCTCTGACAGTCGCTACCTGGATGGCTTGCATGGGGCTGACCCTGGGCTGGAACGTGCGGCGCAGGCCGCTCCCGACGCCCCCGTGCCGGACGTGCATGGCCCGGGGCCGCTCGGCTCGCATCGCACTCAGCAGCTGCACAAACTGCTCGTTCACCACCACATTCTGCAGCCGTTGCGTTCATCAGACGGTGGTTAGCGAACACCTTTTACTAATTGGCTGTGTCGGGTGGTGGTGGTGGTGGGTTCACGACACATTTATATTTACGCAATCTAACCCAAAGCAATCTTTATTGTGGATAGTATTGGTCGCGATTGCCTACGTGTTAAACTGACCTTTTCTACGGTTAAGGTGCAGCCCTGCAAATTGCTTGCTCACAACCATTGCCGGTGGAAGGGCCTCGGCTCGAGGGAGCTCCGTAGAGCCCCTCTGGGGAGGGTATTCTCATCGATTCTTCCACGTTGCACAAGCACCTTGGAAGAGGTGGGAGTATCCACACCTGACCCCGCCGCACACGACCTGTTGAATGACTGTTTGTGGTGTACCAAGGTATACTGTTCGATAGTAATAGGCGATGGGGGGTGGGGGAGTTATAGAAACTCGCCCCTTGTTTCAACTGTCATGCCAGAGGATCGAACGGGTGATCTCTGGTATGCAAGTCTATTGTAGTAATAATTACACCACAGCAACATCCCTATCCATAAATATGTTGATATATGAGTAGGCAAGAAAATATCCTAGACTGTATGCCCAATACAGTATACACTCTCTTGTAGTTCAACTTAGCCAGGTTTTTAACTTAAATTTTACGTATTGGGGAGGCTTCATCCAATCGTCTCATTCTAGCACTACAAATAGTTGACATATACAACCTGTATATGGATACCCTGGCGTGTGTATTATTTATGGGCAGTTGCACAAATCAGCAATCTCAAAATCGACATTTGTAAATTGCACCAATGCTGTCATACGTACTGGGTGTTATTTTGAAATGAATTCTCCAAATTATTTGGAAAATATGATTTAAGTATCGAAGAAGTCAATGGTTTGACACATACATACACACATAGCTTCCCGTTTAATTAACATTTTTCCCTCGTCAGGAAAGGCCAGTGAATGATATCAACTGAAATAAGTGTCCTGATTGGTTGACCTAAGATGCTCAAGTATATAACACTGCTTCGTGATTTCATTAACATTTAACCACATCTTTAATGTTGCTGAAATGTACGTGTAGAATCATCGATATATCCTTCTGTAATTTTATGTCATTTCAGAACTGACTGAAATGTTGAGGTCTTGCATCGTCGATCTCTTGTTCTTCTGGATGGCGGAGAGCAAGGCGAGGGCTCCCTCTGCCATGATAGGGTTCAGTGCGAGCTGCAAACAAAGCAGCTTCCTCCAATTAGCTAAACCCGCACAAACGAATATCAAATGAAACATGTTAGATGAAAAAACAACTGAAATTGATTATAATCATGAATAGGCTTTGGCAGAACATGTCACTAGAAGGGATGCGAGATAAACATATTACTTCTTATTATCTATTACCCATATTCATTGGGTCTTTCGGTGAAGCCTCGTAGATAGAAAAAATATATATCACGACGTTTCGATCGCAACACAAGCACTCGTCATCAGGTGAAACAAAGCGCTTTGTTCACCTGATGACGATTGCTTGTGTTGCGATCGAAACGTCGTGATATTTTTTTAATTATTTTTTCTATCTCCGTGGCTTTACCGAAATACCCAATAAATATGAATTCCTGCAGTCACGAAAGCTTTTAAGTCAAGATGTATCTATTACCCCTCTTATAGCACTGTTTTTCCATGGCCGTTTGACTTGTTGCGCCTTCGGGCCCTGCGCTCGGCGACTGCAATCAAACAAAATCCGCAATGTGGCCGCTTGGCTTGACGATCACCTTGAGGCTGCGTAGAGCCACGTTCGTCTGCAGCCCGGCAGCCAGAGCCCTCGCGCCCCGCTCATCCACGCGGCAGGAGCTCAGGTCCAGGTGGTGCAGGGTCCTGTTCCGCTGGAGAGCCTCTCGCAGCGCCAGGGCACCCTCGATGCCCACGCCGGTCCATGCCAAGCTCAGCCAGCGAACACTGCGGTTCACCTAACACAGTGAAGTGCCGATTCCAGATATTTTCGTGGGTGGACAGACGGCACTGGTTATATAGCACGCTGCGCTCTGAACCCCCCGAAGTGAGTTAGGTTCCCGGCCGTGGCTAACATTAGCATGGAGTTGTGTCAGACTTGGCAGTGTTGAGTGTTAGCCTCTCATGTGCTTGGGTTTTCGCCAGTTACTCCGGTTTTATTCCCACAAGCCGAATAATCGTTGACGGAAATGGCCAAACTTTCTTCAAACAGTCTTGAGACTTGGGCGTTCTTGGGTAAATCATTGGCATTATTTTCCTGTAATATGACACTGGGATGGATTTTGTAAACGTTTTTCAAGGGAGAGTTGGGGCCACGTTTTGGCTCGAGGCATACATTGTTTCACTGCCGTTTTTTTCACAGGCAACGGGTTGTGAGCAAAGCTGTATTAAAGTAGGGGCAACAATGCAGTTCTTCAGGAACTGCTAATGGTTTTTGCTTTACGCACAAAAATGCTGCATGCTTTTTGCATACCTTTTTTGTGTTCTTAAAAATAGGGGCTTCAGTGAATGGTGAGCGGTGTCTCGTATTTATTTTGAGGGCCTCTGAAGAATGTGTGCACTTTACAATAGCTGGAATGCAATACTTTAGCACTATAATTAATACTATTGGTTATTTTGTAGTAAAGCAATCGCATACAGTGAGGGAAAAAAGTATTTGATCCCCTGCTAACTTTGTACGTTTACCCACTGACAAAGAAATGATCAGTCTATAATTTTAATGGTAGGTTTATTTGAACAGTGAGAGACAGAATAACAACAAAAAAATCCAGAAAAAAAATGTTATAAATTGATTAGCATTTTAATGAGGGAAATAAATATTTGACCCCCTCTCAATCAGAAAGATTTCTGGCTCCCAGGTGTCTTTTATACAGGTAACGAGCTGATTAGGAGCACACTCTTAAAGGGATTGCTCCTAATCTCAGCTAGGTACCTGTATAAAAGACACCTGTCCACAGAAGCAATCAATCAATCAATCAGATTCCAAATTCTCCACCATGGCCAAGACCAAAGAGAACGGTGAGGAATCAGCCCAGAACTATACGGGAGGATCTTGTCAATGATCTCAAGGCAGCTGGGACCATAGTCACCAAGAAAACAATTGGTAACACACTACGCTGTGAAGGACTGAAATCTTGCAGCGCCCGCAAGGTCCCCCTGCTCAAGAAAGCACATATACATGCCCGTCTGAAGTTTGCCAATGAAAATCTGAATGATTCAGAGGACAACTGGGTGAAAGTGTTGTGGTCAGATGAGACCAAAATGGAGCTCTTTGGCATCAACTCAACTCGCCGTGTTTGGAGGAGGAGGAGGAGGAATGCTGCCCATGGCCCCAAGAACACCATCCCCAACGTCAAACATGGAGGTGGAAACATTATGCTTTGGGGGTGTTTTTCTGCTAAGGGGATAGGACAACTTCACCGCATCAAAGGGACGATGGACGGGGCCATGTACCGTCAAATCTTGGGTGAGAACCTCCTTCCCTCAGCCAGGTCATTGAAAATGGGTCGTGGATGGGTATTCCAGCATGATAATGACCCAAAACACACGGCCAAGGCAACAAAGGAGTGGCTCAAAAAGAAGCACATTAAGGTCCTGGAGTGGCCTAGCCAGTCTCCAGACCTTAATCCCATAGAAAATCTGTGGAGGGAGCTGAAGGTTCGAGTTGCCCAACGTCAGCCTCGAAACCTTAATGACTTGGAGAAGATTTGCAAAGAGGTGTGGGACAAAATCCCTCCTTAGATGTGTGCAAACCTGGTGGTCAACTACAAGAAACGTCTGACCTCTGTGATTGCCAACAAGGGTTTTGCCACCAAGTACTAAGTCATGTTTTAGAGAGGGGTAAAATACTTATTTCCCTCATTAAAATGCAAATCAATTTATAACATTTTGACATGCGTTTTTCTGGATTTTTTGGTTGTTATTCTGTCTCTCACTCTTCAAATAAACCTACCATTCAAATTATAGACTGATCATTTATTTGTCAGTGGGCAAACGCACAAAATCAGCAGGGGATCAAATACTTTTTCCCCTCACTGTACATATGTGTATTACTACCAGTATTGTTCTGAAAATAAAACTAGTTTGAATTTTCACTGAGTTCTCTGGTTTTGCTCTTACAATCCACATATTCATTGATGGAACGGGACCAAACAAAATCAATGCAGGGCTCTCCTGAAAACAGTCTAGAGACTTAGTGAGGCTTTCTTGGGTTCTAGTCTATTCTTGCACATGATGGAAATATGCTCAAGAGCTAAATACCAATGTCTAGGTCTGCTTGCCATGTAAGGGCTTCAGGAGAGAGTGTTTGTAGTTTTACTACCCCCTTGAAAAAGCGCAGACTGCAGTGGTTTACTACGAGATCCATAGATTAGGAACATGCCCACAATCACACGACTGTGACTGTGACTTGTCTTTAATTTCCATTTATAAAGGAAATGTGCGCAGCTGCATGTTGATGTTCTGATGCGGTTGTGGGATACACCAGTGTCTTCGAGGAGTAAATGTGGAAGCCAGGAGGTGCGATGTTTGGGTCTAGAATGAGGTGTATCCTGAGTGTCCACGTTGTTCCACCATGTGCGCCAGCATTCTTGGGTATATCATTGGCATTTTTTAAAAATATATAACGAGCACTGTCCGCGCATTTGCGTGGGATACACGTCCGTTGTGGAGGGTGCCTGGGGATAAGCGTGATGTTAGTGCAACGCACGAACCCGGCTGTGGGCTGCGGGCCACGTCATCATGCATCAGCCAGCCAGGCAGCCTTGCAGCCAGCCAGCAAAACGTGTTCATAATTTCGTTTGATTGCGAAGTCCCCGCGTTGGACTGAAGATGGCGCAAAACTCACGCTGATGGCTGCTGCGATGGCCACGGAGCCGTTCCATCTCCACAGACTCCAGGCCAGGTCCAGCGTCTCCAGCGTCTCGGAGTTCGCTGAGCCGGGGTAGGGCGGAGGGGGACGACAACCCCGTGACAACATCACGGCGCACACCACATCCAGTATCATTTAAAGTCAATCTTAAATAATAAATAAATGCTGCTGCTGTGTATTCTGCGTCGTTTACAAGCCCTTCTCTTTCAGTCTACCCTCCCCCCAACTTAACGCGAACTCAAACAGGTCCGGACCCAGGGATATTGGGAGGGAGCCACGGTGATGAGATGTCATCTGCCTCCCCTGGTATACAGGAGGTCGTAGGGTTCCATCCCGAGCCTGACGCCTGCTGCTGTATATTTGGAGTTTGCGTGTTGCTCCCGTGGTCGCATGGACCTTTCTCCGAGTCCTCCGGTTTGTCCCTCCACATTTAGAAACATGCATTTAGATTGTTTTGCTGATATAAATTTCCACATGATAAGTCACTTCGTTGAGCTATCCAGATTGATTCTGGAAAAAGAGCTATAAAGCTCAGTGGGACTTATCTGGTAAAATAAAAATTGTTAAGTTTTCGTTTTAAAATATTTGATTGACAAAAGACTACAAAGCCAAACGTTTGCCGAACGTCCCATTTTCAATGGGGACTTGTTTTACTGCCAATGAAAACGTCTCGTTTATATATAATTAAAAAAACAATCAGTCGGTGTTTGCCATAACATGTTGACAAGTGTTCATATTCCCAGCTGTCTTCGCCTGTGTTCATGAGATAACGTGTGTTCATACAAATGCCGAAAAATTGTTTGATAATAAACATTGACCTTGGCATTACCTATCATATGGGCAACATGCATGGCACCTGCGTCTCCAATTCTGTTGTGGCTCATATCCAGTTCCTTCAGGCTTCTATTTACCTGTAAACACAGCAACATAGTCAATACATTTATAATTGGTCTCTTTTGGATGAGGTCCTCCTCCACCCGACGCCAATGGAATAAAAGTGTCACGTGAATCAAAATATGGCCAAATGCATTGCTGCTTCAGGCACACGACGGGTGTCGTGAGCTGGAGATACATTTCACAACATTTAAATTGGTACTTTGACGTTTCGTTAGAGATTACATCAATCATAATCAGGTTGTTAATAGCTCAGATTCTGTTAAAATGACCCGAGCTCTAAATTTCCCAAACTACACTGCTGGTGACTCACCACATTTCGCCTTTGTACGTTTCCTTATCTCTTCCGTTCAAATTTAAATCAAATTATTACACGCTGCACATGCCTGATGATCCTTAACGTCATTATGTAATTCGAATCATCGTTATATATCACGCGGAAAACATAACAAAACAAAGGACGCCGTATAGCCTTTCACAGGCTGTTTGGGCAAGTGCGGTTAAGCGAGCATCTATGCAGGCCAGAACGCCACAGGAGGGGGGTGGGTAGCCAACATCATGACCGGCCGCCTTGGTCTCCCCAGTGTTGACGTTTAAACACCACGCCAGGTACTCATTTAAGGCTGAGTCAAGCTAGGGGTGACTGAGATATTCGTGATTAATGTTGCTTCTCAGCTGGAATCGAATTGGGGGTGTCCCAGGGTCGTTGTGCAGTGAGCTAACCACTTTACTACCGCTCCGTACATATACAAACATGATCTCGCTCTAATTTGAATCGTTGCTTTATGCGTCACACGAGGCGTGTTAAGCAAAACACCAGGTGCCTTCAACGCGTAGACACGTCATGCTGATTTGAACGGAGAAGTTCGGTCATCGTCAAGAGATGGAGGACGGGAAAGGATGTTGGGAAACTCTGCACGAAACATTAATTAAACATAAAAAAATCACAGCTGATCATGATTAGATGTTTGAAGAGATTACCGTATATAAAAATGACCAAAACGTTTTCCAACGTTGCCCAACATGCTTTTTACAAGAGACAATGAGATGGCAGAGAAATCACCGGGACAATACATTGATGATTTTGGGCGTTTTGTGAATTTAACTGCACATTTTTTTCGGTGACATGTACTTACACTTTTCATTGTACCAGGTACGGTCCACTGAGCTATAAAGCACTTTTTCAGAAACGACCTGGCCACAAATGATAGCTCAACGAAGTGGCTTATCACGTGAAATTTTGATATCAGCCAAATACTCTAAATGCGTGTTTCTCAATGTGGAGGGGAAAACCGGAGGACCCGGAGTAAAATCAACGCGACCACAGATAGAACATGCAAACTCTAAATATACAGCAGGCGTCAGGGTCGGGATCGAACCCACGGCCTCCTGCATACCAGGCGGGGGATTTAACATCACTGCACCGTGGCATGCCTGTAAAGCCCTAGGTTGTGGTTTCTGTTACCTAGTGAGGCCGTTGTGTTCCCTTCACGCTCGGCAGGGCTTAATCTGCTCTCGAAATATTTTCCAAACATTCTGCGGAGCTAAGCCTCGGACAACTGCGGCTGAAATTAATTCATGACGCTAAGCAATGCACAGCACAGTTACTGCACTGTGGGTCTTACTGAGGGGTGGGCAGGAGTAAGGGCCAGCAACGGATCATCTGTGCAGCAGCATCAGCAGCGTGATAATAATTACTCTCGTGGCCAAGTGCCTTGCTGTCTTGTATGTATGTTAAACTTCTTTCGCACCGTACGTAGGCAACCGTGCTAATCGGACGTGCCATTGGGCTATCGACTGTAAGAATGTGACATCAGCAACACCGTATGCACGCGTGCATGTACTTATGTTTTAAAGCAGTCTTATGGTTTTTAATTATTTATACACACGGTGCTATGCACAAAGGGCTTTTGTACTAAGGGCTTGCCCACATATCAGCACTTTGAGATTACTAATTTGAAAGGCATACTTCATAAAACTGAGTTTATCATTATTATTACGAGGCCAGAGTCACAAAGCATAATGAGTAGACAACAATGGCCTTACTGTGCTGATGTTTCCTAACAAGAATAAAACCGATGCACGGCACAGTTGTCTCATTGTCTCGCTGCCATTTAAAAATTATACAGCCACAGTTTTGACTCGGTTTTTTTTCCTCCCTGTTGGTGGTCTCAAACAAGGCTGCGAGCATTATACACGCAGCATGAACGTGTCACCTTGTATCGCGCCCCCTTAGCGTTCGCTCACTATCGTGGAGAGACAACAGAGACAACGCCTTGGGGAGAGAGAGAGGCGTGAGGAACCGCAGGCAGGCAGGGAGGCGGCCACGCGATGGACCGACGCCAACAGTTGCCCAAGCTCTGCTGTCCTCTCTATATCGAGGTATTATCGAGCAACTAATGAGTGTTTGCATGTGGGATGACACAAGAGCACGCAAATAAAACCCACGCGTGCGAGGGGGAAACACTCTATCCCATACAGATGGAACACGTGGAATCCACAATTTTGTTGTACAGTACTGCATTCTCCTGGCGAACCAGGGTATGGCTCCTCTTCCACTAGTCCTCATCTCCGCAGTGCTGGATCATAGCCATGCATAGTCACCGACGGCCCAACTATGGGGATGTGATTGTAATGACATGCAAGGTATGATCGAAGGACCGATCATCTGGTCACAAAAATGCCTTTTCCAGTCTACAAATCATCTTTTGCGTATAATATTCCTCTTGTTTGCTTCCAGCTTGCACTCACTTTTCTGTCTGGCGAGTTTCCCATCATTTTCAGAGACAGTGTAAATTGCTACAGAGGGGGATTGTGTTATAACAGGGTCTGTGCTAACGATGACCAAAATATAATATTGATTTGATCCATCACCAGTGCAGAACCATTTTGCACAACACAATTTCCACAAGCAGAATCAGAATATGTATTTATACTGGGAGCTATGAAGCTATTTTTGACAGATATCCAGTAGGGGCGGGTCAGAATGTTACAACAACAAATAATACGAAAACCCAAAAGTAGTGAAAAGTATAGGAAATGTAGGCAAATCACAAAAAATACAAGTCAAACAATTTTTTTAATTTAACCAGGTAAAGCCCACTGGCAAAGTAAGTACAGGCAGGAAATAAATAAAAGACAGCTTGCCGATGTGAGTTTTCAGGGTGGTACCGCATGTTGTTCGGTACAATTGTCCGACACTTTGCTCCACGTGCTGGGAGCTTCCTATTCAAGAGCTGCATTTCAATTTCACTTCCTGAAGAAGCTGTGAGTCAGCTCAGCAAAGTTTTTTTTATATTAAATTCCTGAACAAGCTCCCGGCCCGTAGAGCGGAACGTCAGGCATCATGCCGAGCAACACGCGATGCAACCCGAAAACTCATCAGAGAGCTGCAGAGCACTAATGCGAAGAGCTACGCAGTAAAGGGATCTGCGTTGTTTCAACTGAGCTACCCATTAAAGTGGCCGTGCCGTGTTAGATGAAAGCAAACTATTAAACAGTTATAGGTGGAATTTACATCAAGACGCTCCATACTTACCGACATGGCGTTGTGCAAATGTCTGGCAGCTTCATCCGTTAAATTGTTTCCTACCAAAGGACATGCAATGTGGTTCTCCTTATACACTTTTTCAAACAGAAGTGAGCTCTCATGTTAACACCATCGTTATCGTCATTGCAATGTTCATCACATATCTCGTTTATAGAAACAATGCCACTAGGCATGAATCACAATAGGTGACAACCTAAATTGTTAGTACACAAATTACCACGAGTCCAGATCTAGAGGTTACGTTTGATTAATTTTCTATCACCATGAGAAAGTCATTCTTGCAACAAGGCTTCTTCGTGCCAACCAGTTGTATACAACTCATGGATACAATTTGCTCGTCGTTTGACATCCAAAGCACTGCACAGGGGGCAGTGATGTCACTTAACGTGAGCTATGGACCAATATGTTGCCTTTTAAAGTATTTGTTTGAATGCACAATTTTCTTTTACAACAATGATGCAGTCTTTATTTTCCATTAAATCCAGAAGTATACCTGACCCTTTCCTCCGCAAATTGAAATGCTGCCACCTGCGCAGCGGAGATTAGGCTTTCTCTTCGATGTGTTTTGTGGCTTGTACCGCATGCTGCACGGGAGATGACCTCCGACGTTTGTCTTCACATGCTGGGAGCTTCTTCAGGCACTCAATTCAGTTCTTGAAGAAAATCACAGAACGTGGAATGAAACGTCAGATATCGTGCCAAACGACAGACAATGCGTCACAATCCTAAAACACCGCCGGAGAGCCGTATAGCGGGACAACCGCGAAAACCTACGCAGTACTGGAGTAGTTGCAGCAATTCTCAGTCATCGTTCCACATACACACACACACACATAGAGGCCCTCGCACCGGACAGGTTGAGACTGGTGATGGTGGAGTTCTCCCTCAGCGCAGAGCACAAGGCCATCGCTCCTCCGACTCCCATGCGGTTGCTTGATACGTTCTGTGAAGGATGGGACCGGCAAACGGATACAGCTCACACCTCTACGTGGCTGCGATGTGGCTAGATGGCAGTGCAGAAATACGATCTTGATTCTACCTGCGTGTGGCTTTGAGTGTCACCCTGTCGAAAGTGTGGTGGTAGGTTTTCTCCAAGATACTCCCCGTTTCCCAACTGCCCCCCCCCGCCCCCCGAAACGCAAAAAAAACTGATGAACGTACAAGGCCCAACATTCTAATGTAGGACCATGCATAAAACTAGTATTGAGACTCACCGAGGCTTTACTGGGTAAATACACGGCATTATGTTTAGAATATTATCTCTGTGTATTGGCAATCCAAGGGCCGATTTATGGGTTGTATTGCATTTTGTTTGGCATGATGTCCGACGTTTTGGAACTGAAATGCTCCCAGTGTGTGTAGACACGACGTATTTGCCACGCCTCATATAATCATGGGTCTCCTTACCAGCTCTTCGATGTAGCAGTTCTCTTTGAGCATTCGCGAGAGGTGGCGGCAGCCCTCCTCCTGAAGCCAGTTGTCCGACAGGTCCAACTTGGTGACCACGGTGTTGACCTGAAATGTTAAATTAAGTCAAGTAAACTGTTCATGTTGATGGCTGCCAAGTTGTGTGCGTAATGGATTGGCTATAACAATATAATAACAATAATAATGATTTACAACTTGTGATGCGCTGCAGTGTTTTTGCTCGCTCTACTAGAGCGAAAACGACTCAGGGGCGTGAGGAAGCACAGATAAGCGGGAAGGCAGCCGCACAATAAGCCGACGTCAACAATTGCCCAAGCTTGGTGATCCTCTCTGTATTAGGATGTTATCGACCAATTAATGAAACTGATTGGTCCACACCAGAGACAGCTTTCTTTAGTCTCAAAGTGTGAGACCAGAGAACGCCAAAAGGCGGACAGCATAAAGACAATGCCACTATCAGGGCAATTATAGCTCTGGGTGAGCAGCTACAATATGGGACTTTTCTTGCCATCATCGAAATATAAGAATAGCTTTCACACTTTCTAGCAATAAAACAGGTGTCAAGATTTTGATTTAAAGCTTTCGTGACTGCAGTGATTCATATTCTTGGTTCTTTCGGTAAAGTCACGTTGAAGGGAAACAATAAAATAATAAAATATATAAAACAATAAAATTCTCACGACGTTTCGACCGCAACACAAGCAGTCATTATCAGGTGTGAAAACCAACGGCAAGAACATTTGAAAGAAGTGGCGGTTTGTTTTATTTATTTATTTTTAAACGTTAGCACCATTGGAGAAACCAAACGACATGTCTCGGACCGCATTCGTGAACAAAAAGCAGACCTTAAACACGGTAGGACCAACACCTCGGCCGTGGCAGATCACTGTTATAATTCAGTGGGCTCACATGACATTGACTTCTCCAAGACGGAGGTTCTTTGCAAGCCATCTGGCTACCATGAGAGATTCGTTCATGAGGCTATCCACATATACAAACACAGAGACAATTTCAACCGAGAAGATAGATTCTGGCTCAGCAATCATTGGAAGGATTTGATAAACCATTTCGGGTCTTAATTGATTGTTCACGCTGACGGTGGCTTTCAGACAGCATACATTAATTTTTCGTCTCCCCCCTCCTCTTTTCCGAATATAGATGAACTTGTCCATCTAAACAAACTATCAAATCGCTATCCGTGGTGCTAACGCTAAAAAATAAATTAATAAACCGCCACTTCTTTCAAATGTTCTTGCCGTTGGTTTTCACACCTGATGATGACTGCTTGTGTTGCAGTCGAAACGTCGTGAGAATTTTATTGTTTTATATATTTTATTATTTTATTGTTTCCCTTCAACGTGACTTTACCGAAAGAACCAAGAATATAGGTGTCAAGATACTCTCTGGTTCCTTCGATAAAGTCACGTAGGTATAAAATAAAATAAATCACGACGTTTCGATTGCAACACAAGCAATCATCATCAGGTGGGAAAACCACAGCAATACATTTTTTTGTTGCTGAAGTGGGAGAGAGATGCCGTGGTAAGAGGTTATATATATAGGTAAGAGAGGGGGGAGGGGCAAGGGAGGGGGGTAGGGGGAGCGTTGCGTGGACGTTCGGAGAGGGACGTGAAGCTGGACGGGGGGAAGTGGGCGGTGCTGGAAGTGGGCGGGGCTGAGAGAGCTGCGGATGCGCGGGGGGGGGATGCAACAACAATGCCACTGCAACAACAATGCCACTGCAGCAACAATGCCACTGCAGCAACAATGCCACTGCAACAACAATGCCACTGCAGCAACAATGCCACTGCAGCAACAATGCCACTGCAACAACAATGCCACTGCAACAACAATGCCACTGCAGCAACAATGCCACTGCAGCAACAATGCCACTGCAACAACAATGCCACTGCAACAGCAATGCCACTGCAACAACAATGCCAATGAAGCAGCAATGCCAATGAAGCCAACAATGCCACTGCAACAACAATGCCACTGCAGTAACAATGCCAATGAAGCCAACAATGCCACTGCAGCAACAATGCCAATGAAGCCAACAATGCCACTGCATCAACAATGCCAATGAAGCCAACAATGTCAATATCTACGTGACTTTACCGAAAGCATAATAAAAGGTGGTTTTACGTGCAAGTACACCACCGCCTCCCCCAGAACCCCCTGCAGAATAACAAAAGGCGGCCTAACTTAGCCCCCCCCCTCCCCACCCACGTCCCTCCCTGGCTCCCCCCCCCCCCCCCCTTAACCTGTATATAATCTTGTGTGTCCCAGAGCTGTTCACTTGATACAGCGAAATTTGCTGTGTCTGTTCCACCTGAAGACGGAAGCTTGTGTTGCCTCCGAAACGTTGTGATTTAATTTAGTTGTTTTCTTTTATTTTACCTACGTGACTTTACCGAAAAAACCAAAGAGTATTTACCGAAAGAACCAGAGAGTATGGATTCCTGCAGTCACGAAAGCTTCAAATCTAGGTGTTAAGATGTTAAAACACCAAACAGAAATCTTTTTCTGATTGAAGGCCGAAAATTGCTTTCAAATACCTTTGACAGGCAATCACACACACCTCTTGACAGAAGGGACTGAGCATCATCAGATTAAAAAACACACAGTTGTCAGTTAAACAAAACTAAATGTTCCCCTCCGGTAGCAGATGGGTTTGGCTAAGATGTTTGAAGTGACAGACAAATATTGTTTGTTGTAATGTTGAAATGGTAGGACGTGCCTCAGGCCGTCGTTAATCCAAAAGGTTTCCCGCACTTGACTTAAATGTTCGCATGATTTCCTCGCCGGAAAAAAAAGAGTTGAACGCCGTTGTACGCACAGCCAGTGTATTTTTGTACGCTATAGGCTAACCTTTCAGAGTGTGCAGTATGTTTCGTGGTGTTTGATTTGAAAACACGTTTGAGTAGCGTGACACGGTCAATTCACTCCTACAAAACTGCTCACGCGTCCACCCCAACAATGTTCCACGTGGAGCATGCGCGGAACTCGTGATCTTACTCACGCATGCAATATGTTTAACGCATGTGGTTTTTGCATGCGATTGTTATGCATCCAAGGCGCGTAAAACATTTTTGATCGGACACAAAGTATTGACAGCTTCGAACGCATGAACACAGCTGCAGCTGTACCAGTAAGTAACCAGATCTCGTTTGAATCCTGGAGATGAGAATGATTAAAGCAAGAGTCATAAACAAATACCGTATATATTATCTATGAAAGCTGTACTCAGCCTCAAGTCTTGTTTTCAGGATGGTATTGCATTGCAAGGCTTGAGCAATTACACCAATTTGTGTTTGGCCTGTGGCAGGTACCCAGAAATTGTAGCCAGACCAAAGGCCAGACGGGAGACACCAGGTCTGACAGTCTCTGCTTGGGGTTGCTCCCTGTACACCGGCATGCCGTGCATCGCAATCCACTACATCTGGACCAAACTGCCACTGGGCACCACGTGGCACGCGACGTTACCGTGAGGCAGCGAGCGAGGGGCGCGGCGCCGCGGGGACCCAGGGCTCGGTGCGCGAGGCGCAGCTGGGGTCGGAAGCCCCCTGAGCCCAGGACCCCCGTGGCCGGGCAGACCCCTGCGGTGCGGCACCCTTCCCGGTAGCGGGGGCCCCAGCCCAGGTCTTGTGACCGCGGGCCCCCAGGACGGAGGAGGGATTCGTCGCCATCTGACACGGAGAGACAATCGGAAGGAACATACGTGGGCATCCCGTGTTGGTGAATTAGCAAAACGACCACCAACATCGTCATCAGGATCAAAACCACCACACGGTGGTAGTGATTTGTAAGACCAATAATTACCATGCAAATGATGAGGCATGTGACGATTCCCTCCCACCCCGCCTCCCCCCATAGAAACAATGAGTGAATGAATTGTAATAATTCGTGGTTGATAAAAAAAAAATGCTTTTTGTCGAGTTATTACAATTTTTATGTTTATATTATCTCGCGTTTGTTTCTGTCCCATTGGTACAGTTCTGCCTGCCCTCTGCGTTCGCCTGAATGTCACACGAGCATGCCTCTTCTTCAGTCCTCCAACTAAAGGCAGGTTCTTGGCTCGAGCCTTCTCCGTATAGTGTGATCTTGTGCTTTAGTTAAAATTTTCCAACTCTTCTGTCAATTTTTAAGTCATCCAACAATCTCTTTATTTTTTTCTTTCTGTGAGCTTGTGATTTAGTTAACATTTTCCAACACCTATGTCAATTTTCAGTCATCTAACAACAACCTCTTTCTCCCACACTGACCAGACGTGTTGGAAGAGATGGAAGCTTACACACACTTTTCCCCACCACACACCTTCCTATCGACTAACTGCAGTGTATTCATGTTTATACTGCTGGCTGAACAGAGTCGGGGGTGAGGGTTGGAAGGTGGATTTAAGAAACTTGCAATATTGTTTCAACTGTTATACTAGGAGATATATTCGCACGAGTGAGCTCTGGCTTACAAGGCTAGTGCGCTAACAGTTACACCGTAGCATCTACCCGCTACATGGTGTGCCACACAAATCCACCTCGGGGAAAGTGGATTATCTTGGCTGCAACAGCTGATGTCAAAGGGCCAAAGCCCACGTTGCAATGTAACCGCATTGTTAATGCACACGGGGTGCTGCGTAATGGATTTAAGTGCTTAAAGTTCGAGCGTCCATCACGGTCATCAGGGATCCATCCATCACAACCACTGCAGCGTGAGGCGTGACTGGGTTAGTACTGAAATCCTCGTCGCCAAATGCAGCTGGAACGCTTCGAAAATTATATTTGGCACGCCACATCTATCTCGGCCTATTTTGTCCCAAACGTATTCATATAGGACGATAGGGATAGTGTATGGGGTACAATAATATAGGATTGTTATGGATCGGTTTATATTGTACTCTCTAGTGGTCGTGTCTTACGCTGATTATCCCTACTCAAAACCGGCCGCTATGGCAGCATTCCGGGAAACATCGAGTGGGAAATTATTCCTTGGCTGTACCGTCCTCCAAGTCCGTGTCCCATTCGGTTCCCTCTGTTCCGCACGGGTGTTCCATCTCGCCTTGTAGCGTGACCTTGTTTCATGGGGGGTCGTGGGTATGTACACAAACCGACTCAGTGTTAAACAAGCTTGAAACAAATGTTAACCGCCCAACTGAATGGGTGACAATCAACATGATGATCATCCGTGGCCAATCCACTGCTGGATGAAGGCTTCAAGGAGCTGCCTCCACCTGTCAAAATCTTGCGATGCAATAATCCGCCTAGCACCTGCACACCAACTGATTTGATTTACTCCATCTCCGCGGTGGACGTCCTATCGAATGCGTTCCATTCCCTGGGTGCCATTCCATTATTATTCTTGACCATCGACCATCGTGTCTTGTGCAATCTAATTTTTATTTCATCTAAAACTATAAACTAAACAATTGTTTTACTATTTTATTTTACCAGGCAAGGGCCACTGAGCCATATAGCTCTTTTTCAGAAGCGACCTGGCAACAAATGATAGCTTAACGAAGTGACTCATCATGTGGACATTTATAGCAGTCACATACTCTTAAACGCATGTTTCGAAATGTGGAGTGGAAACACTGGAGGACCCAGAGAAAAATCCACGCGACCACGGGAACATGCCAGCTCCAAATAGAGTCGTCAGAGGCAGAAATCGAACCCACGACCTCCTGTATAGTAGGTGAGGGAGTTACCATATCGCCACCGTGGCACCCTGTAAGTGCCTCCTCCTCCTAAAGGAGGGTTGTATCACGTGTCATCTCGTAAATGTGGGACGCGGTTGGGATTAAACTGCGGATCATTATGATGCCACTCAATAAACCCACTTTTCTATAATTTCAGTCAAACGGAGTTAAAATACTTGAAATGCTCATCAGATGTAACACAACGCCAATCCTATAATGGTATAATTTGGGACTTTGAATGCTTTTCTTTTAACTATATCCATGGCTTAACCAAAATGGGCTGATAATGAGTACTGTATTAGAATGTGCTGACCTCTGATTACAATATTTATATACTAACACATCAGTGACTGTCCTATGGATAGACTCACCCCCGTCACAGAAATGTGGAATGTCGACCACTGGCTCAAGATGCCTATAAATGGATAAGCACCGATACCGCAATGCACATTTTAGCAGACCACTTTGACTATGTATCCACAAGTTTCTGACAGCAAATGCGTTGGCTACTATAAAATGTTCGTACAGAAGTGAATTCTAGTACGGAAATTACAAGCGCCAAATTTGTGAGTCCATGCAAACAGCAACAAAAAATCATCTCTCTAAAAATCATTTCAGAATCCTTACCTTGCGAAGGTCGTTGATCTTCTTCTACCTCGCCATGGCTTAGAACGGAACAGACGCAGGTGACCGCAGTGCGCGTGGCTCACGTCCACAATTGCCCACGGTCTCTCTCTCATCTGTGCCGGGAGTTACGAGTGGATGGGCCTCGTAAAAGGCCATCCCATCTGCTCCCGAGCAAACAGATGGTGGCGTGGGGGGGGGGGGCACGTTTATCTCCAGCACGCATGCAGAGGCAGCGATTGTCCATTGTGCCCTCTCGAGCCGGACTTTCATTACATGAGGCTGTTTGCACTTCCCAGAGTCCCATGGGGCCCACAGGTGTCTCAGAATAATTTGACGGAACACCTGACCGAGTTGTTTTCCATCAGGGTCAACACCGAGACCTGGAGCACGCGCGTGTGGGTGCGTGCGTTCGTATTTACGTGGGGAACGGTGGGGCAGTGGCCAGCTCGCTGCGCTAGGAACCCGGCGACCCGAGTTCGATTCCCGCTCACAGGCAACATTGGCGACGATTATCTGAACTGATCATGGGCCTTTCCTCGGTCGACTCAGCCTTAAGTGAGTACCCGGTGCGGTGTGTAAACATTGGGGAGACAAAGGCGGCCGGGCGTGGTGCTGGCCACCCACCTCTACACAGGCGCTCGCCAACAGCACTTGCTCCAACGGTCTCTTGAGGCTACACGGAGGATCGTTGTCTTTGTTTTTTCGTGTTTACGTGGTTGAACAGGTGGGCATCAGAAAGGGCTTCACCTTTGTTTTGTGAGGGACAGAATGAGCACAAAGGCATGGCTGGTTTACCAAATTTTGCCCTTGCCCCTGCCTCCCCCCTGGACGTGCTCGTGGATATGATGGCCGAGAGGCAGTATCTATCTGCATGAGTAGACCAGCGGGCGAGTCAATACAGCGGCACGAGGGAAGATAACACAGTGACCCCCCCACGATAATTCACGTCCTTCCATTGCCCTGAACCGCAATGTTGTACTGGTATAGCCAACAACCCGAACGCAAATGGCAGAACTTGGTACAATAGATGTTTTTATTCAAATAAACAACATTTAAAGGACGTTTCCTTTTTGCAGCAGATGCACCTGTTCATGAGCTCTCTATGTTTACAGTTAACACATCTAAAGTACTCTATGCGAATGTAGATGTGCGTAGCGGTTTTATTAAGAAATACAGCGTTCACACAATGGACCCAATAACATTGAGTAGCACAAACAAAAAAAGCAGAGCAAATTTGTTCCAGCAGCGCCGTGTCCATTCAATTACTCGCCTTGGAAACATGCAAGACACTAACACAGGAACACACCTCATGGGTGAGCTACTGTGTTCCACTTTAAACATCAAGAAAACTCCACAGGTGTATAGATTAACTTTCAGCAACCTAAAGTTTTCCTATTTAATCCCCTGAAACACAAGATGCCTGCCATGACTTATGCAGCCTTAAAACCAATCTACACCAACTCCATCACAGCTCCCCGAGTATTCAAAACGTACATTCCAACCCCATATTGATCACATCTCGATGAAAATCTAACAAAAAATATATTTTTTATATAGAAACATTGTTTTCCCATTCGATTACGCCTGCAAATTATTGAAGCTATCATTCGACCACTGTTTGACGACGGTGATGCTGCTGAATCACTAAACAGACTTAAACCGCTTCATGATTCTGCCCCGAGATTTGCACTGGATGGACCATACAGGACCCACCAGTGACATCTACTTAAAATCCAATCTCTCATCACTTGATGCAATACATTGGGCCCTGTTCATACATAAAATCCTTATTGGCAAATCTGCGCTGTACTTAGCTAATTCATTAACCCCATTATCAAATCCAAGAAACCTCTAATTGCCTTTTAACGATCCTAAGAACAAGAATTGGAACAGGTGGCACCAACGTTTCGGAAAAACCTTGTTTCCTCACTCATAAATATTCTGAAGCAGATTGGTGGTGGATACAGCCACATTTCCCAATGTAATTTATAAATAAAATTCTTAACAATGTATTGAGAGTAAAATGTTAATGTACAATTTTTATTCACGGACTGTGTTTTGTCTTGGTGTCTGGTCTGGGACTGTTTTTGCTGTTGTTTTACTGCCTTTTTAAAGCTTTGGAATTGATGATGCAATTTTAATACGTATAATGAGAATAAAATAATAAAACAAAAATAAGACAATAAAATTATCACCACGTTTCGGCGACAACACAAGCGGCCTTCTTCAGGTGAAAGAACAGAACTGTCGGGACGACAGTGCTTCAATGAGTGCTGCTGAGATTAAAAGACGCCACGAATCTCAGCAGCACTCATTGAAGCACTGTCGTCCCGACAGTTCTGTTCTTTCACCTGAAAAAGGCCGCTTGTGTTGTCGCCGAAACGTCGTGAGAATTTGATTGTCTTATTTTTATTTTATTCTCATTCTACGTGACTTTACCGAAAGAACCAAAGAAGATGATTCCCTGCAGTCACGAAAGCTTTAAATCGAAAATGAATACGTATACGTTATTTATTTAAGGGGCGCCACGCTGGTGAGATGTCATCTTCCTCGCCTGATATGTAGGTCGAAGGTTCGATCCCGACCCTGACGCCTGTATATTTGGAGTTTGCATGTTCTCCCCGTGGTCACGTGGATTTTCTCTCCAGGTCCCCTGGTTTGTCTCCATCCTCGTTTAGAAACATGCGTTTAGACTATTCAGATTATTATGCTGCTATAGATGTTCAAATGATAAGCCACTTTGTTGAGCTATCATTTGTGGCCAGGTCGTTTTGAATAACAAATTGATGCATCAGTGGGCTTTTCCTGGTAGGATGGTTTAGTGTTGTATTTGTTTGTGCTTGAGTGAATCGTTTACCTTTCTTGTACTTTGCACTCCTATCGTGTTGTGGTGGTGTTTGTTGTTGTAACGTTCTTACCCGCCCTGACTGGACATCCGTGAAAAAGAGCTTTATAGTTCATCAGATTCCCACAGTATAAATATTCTAATTCAGATTCGATTTTGCACTTAAAATGGGACATTCAGTGTCCTCTATACATAATTTTGGTTTAGGTTTGGACTTCGGAAAAAGTCCCATCGCAGGTCAGAGATGTGGGACCTTACGAGAAAGCTTGTTGGTGGAATGCGGAGTGAAGCACGCTCTCGAGCAATGAGTGCCAATTCTGGAGGCCAGCGAGTGGCAATGCAAAGATCGCAGGGAGAAGTAATTGTCTGAGTGGGGTTCAGTGGTGTAGCTTACAAGTGTACAGGCAGTGCAACTGCACTTGGGCCCAATGGGCCGAGGCACTGGGCTACAAAAAGAGGGGAAATTTAATATGGGCACCCATTTAATCCCGTGAACCAGGGCCCATGCCAACTACTATAAATTACTGCTGGAGTCTAAAACATTCCAAGCCAACAGAGAGCTTTGAGCATTTGGATGGAAACTCTAGCCTGTATACAAGGAACAATAAAGTCCTTAGAGTCACACGTCAACATGATGCCACCAATCGGCACAGTAAAAGAATTGCTTTTATTATTATATTGCTACTGGCACAAAATCATTCTTTAATAACCACACACAGCGGTACAGCTTCGGAGTAAATTAAATGACAAAAAATTCAGAAACTAAGATACATGAAATATTCTAAGCACATATTAACGAACTGTCTACATTAAAATATCTAGCAGACGATGCATATTTTTATATAGCATAGTTGATCGTTGATTGCATACATTGTAAACATTGCGTATATGTTTTAAATTGTTCCGCTTAATGACAGCGCTCAAGTTTCAACGATAATTAATAAAGCATTAAGCTTGTACACACAATCCTTTCTCACCCTCATCGCACCTCACAGGCATTAGTTACAAAAAAATCACAGAAATACATATGAAGGTCAACACAATGGAGAATGTATACGCAATTAAGGCAAGGGCTTTACATTCAGCGACATTAAATGTAGAAATCGTGCAAATATTACCTACACACGCAGTCTATGTATACGACAAAATCAAGTGCATTGGTCTGCATTTTTTACATTCTTTTTTTTACCCCCTGCAACCAGTTTGGTTTCGTTAACATTGCATCCAGTGTCTACGTTTGAGAATATACATTTTTTTTAGGAATGTATTTAAATGGTTAAAATTCAATCTCCTCAGGTTGTCGGATTCTACGTTGAAAGACACGCACACAATAAAGATAGTGCATTCATCACCATACTCAACAGCCCCTTGCTTTCACGACCGTGTTTTGTTTATACCAAACACGGTCGCTCACTCAACATTTCTCGAGGCTTTGCAGTCGGGACTCTCGTCGCGTGAAAGCGTTTCGTCCAGAGCTTAGTGGCAGCCACGTGTGTCCCGGGTCAGCGACCCAGAAAAACATGTTCAGACCCAGTACACCACCGTCCAATATACCTGTCGCTATTGCTGTGGCTTTGGTCGTGCGCCACCTGCCGGTCTATCAGTGGCCTAGAAAATAATCTGTGGTTAAATTAAAAGCCCTCTGTTTTATCTCAAGAATCAAAATCTCATCTTGGTACACATGCCGCCCCCACGTGTTGCGATTGAGGCCAATGTTTTCAGGATCTCTCTTTGCGCGTTCTTGTTGCTCCCTCTGTCTGCAGTTTGGGGAACTCGTTATGGGGAGGCAGAGTCAGAGGTTTGCGTTGCGTTTTACGGCTCCAGCAACGCACGCGGGCGGCCACTCTTCCCTTCAGCTGAACCGGCCTCTGCCCGCTCACGCCAGGCTCTCGCGGACGGTGGGTGGCTGGTAGGTGGCACACACGCCATTGGGCTCCATCTCAGTCAGGGCCTGCTTCAGCGGCTGAAGGGGGGAGCAGGAGGAGGAGGGCATTTTGGTAAATGGGAAATTGTACTTTACAGCTGGACACGATTTGGCATCTCGATAACATAAACAGGAAAGGTGCCGCCCAGAAAATTATTGGTCACGCCTCTTCTGCCAGCATGGCCTCCAATAAAGACAGCTGCAGAGGGCCTTTGGCCTATAATTCCATGCTGGCCAGACATCTTGGAAGACGTAAGGGCACCCACATCTTTTTTTAAAAACTCGTACGTTGCTTCAACTGCTCCGCCAGGAGATCGAATCGGCGACCTCTGGATTGCAAGTCCAGTGTAATAACCATTACACCATGGCAGTATCCTGCCTGATAATAAGTGAACACAATTTCACAAGCAATGATAGGGTGGAGAGTGGTAGTGCAGTAATTTTCGACTAGTTCTATATCATTCATCAAATCGGTGGCGAGTGACAACTGAACCGCTCTCGAGCGTGGTGAACAGTGGTCAAACAACCCACGTGAAGGAGGCCTTCATCCAGCAGTGGATTAACAAAGGGCAAAACTTAAGTGTTAGAATGTATAAATAATCATTAAAATAACCGTATGTGCCACTCTTAACATAAGCCATCCAAAATGTGTTACAATAATTAATTTGAGATTCCATGTAACTTGAAGCAGCGCTTCCTGCTGTGTCCTGTGATAATCCTTTGTCACGGGCCTGTTGAGAGCAGAGGGACTTATCTGTGGAGGTGGTGGACTTACCTCAACCCCCTGCATGCCAGCAAGACTGGCTTTCTGCCGTCGCAGGTCAGACTTGATGAACACTGCAAGGCAACACACGCATACAAATGTCACCTGGAATCTCGGCCCATGAGCATGAACACATGTACATGAATAGCACTCGAAATATCAGGCCATGACCACACACACACGTGCACAAACCTTACTCATAATATCAGCCCAAGAACAAAGACAATGATCCCCCTTATAGCCATACAGGCTTTTGGGGCAAGTTTTGTTGGTGAGCACCTGTAAATAAAGTGGTTAGGCTGGCACTACGCTCGGCTGCCTTCGTCTCCCCAGTGCTAATGCTCACACACCATGTAATCGTTCAAGGCTGAGTCGATCTAGGGGAGGCCCAGGGCAGCTATTCATTACTGTTATTGTAGCAGTGCACTAATCACTACACCCCGCTAGATGAGCACACAAAGACATCTACAACAACGCAACTACAACAATCAGCCCGAGAACACGCATACTTTACACAGACCCTCCCTGTAATTTCATCCAGATCCCGCAAACCGGCACACACCGGTCATGATGGTGCCAATCAGAAGGAAGGTGCACAGGAAGAGGTTCCCAGCCTTGGGGGAGAATTCGGTCACCAGCCTGCCCTGCACAATCGTGAAGATGATCCCAAACACCTGCCAGGGTGGACGGTGATAGAATAACATCTCGAGGTCAGAACCGGTTCACATTCGACGCAGCACAACAGTGAGTGACACTTGGGTAACATGCTCATGTACAGCCTGTGTTTGCCAGTCCAATCCTGGATGAGGACATTCCCATGCGTCGCAGGGTTTTTTGAGGGATTGACTATTTTTTACGAAGCCGATGTGTTAAACTATACTTTACCATGACCGTCAGTGCGGGTTGGTGAAATTTGGCAGAATGGTAGAGTTTGTCGAGTTTGCTGCACTGTCCTCTACTGGTCACACCACCTACTACACCTCTGTCTTCACTTCATGGCGCTAATCAACCAAAGCATTGTCGAGCCTCAATTCTGCTTGGCTTCCGAGATCTGACGGGATCGAGCAAATTCCGAGTGATTTAAGTCCTATAGTTTAACACGAAGATAGTTTAACAGAGCTCGCACAATGTTACGGTGTGCTCTGCACTCGTCAGCACGCAGTCGCGTCAACAGGTTCCTAAGTTTATGTTGGACTTCTTTCGCACCGCACGTAGCCAACCGTGCTAAATCGGAGGTGCCTTGAGGCTATCGACTGCAAGAATGTGTCATCGGCAACGCCGTGTGCACACGTGAACGTCCTGTACTTATATTTTAAAGCAGTCTTATTGTTCTTAATTAGTTTTCAATCTCGATTTATAAGTGCATAGCTCCAGTGGCTTCCTAATATCAGAAGGAAGAGCGTTCCAGACGGCCGCAGAAGCGCACCTAAAAGTGCACGATGGAGTGACCCATCATCGAAGTACCGCGTTAATTTAATTAACTTGGTTGAAGTTGAACATTCGGCGGCCCCATTCCCGCGCTGCGGCACCCACCCTTTTTGTAACGGTGGAAATATTTCACGCGACGACATTCTCCCTCTCCCTCCCTCGTCTCCCTTCACACGGCCCGACTTCCCAACTTTACCTGGGCCGAAACGTTGAGCAGCCCGGACGAGGTGCCCTCTGACTCCGGGTACGTGAGCTCGACCGCAAACTCAAATCCCACGGGCAGGTACCCCGCGCAGAAAAAACTTTTGTTGGGGGGGGGGGGGGGGTTGGGGAGGTGGGGGGGGATGTCATTGGTACAGAGGGAGTGAGGATTGAGTCACACGGGCTGCGGTCTTTATCTCAACACATACAGTGAGGGAAAAAAGTATTTGATCCCCTGCTGATTTTGTACGTTTGCCCACTGACAAAGAAATGATCAGTCTGTAATTTTAATGGTAGGCTTATGTGAACAGTGAGAGACAGAATAACAACAAAAAAATCCAGAAAAACGCATGTCAAAAATGTTAGAAATTGATTTGCATTTTAATGAGGGAAATAAGTATTTGACCCCCTCTCAATCAGAAAGATGTATGGCTCCCAGATGTCTTTTATACATGTAACAAGGTGAGATTAGGAGCATACTCTTAAAGGGAGTGCTCCTAATCTCAGTTTGTTACCTGTATAAAAGACACCTGTCCACAGAAGCAATCAATCAGATTCCAAATTCTCCACCATGGCCAAGACCAAAGAGCTCTCCAAGGATGTCAGGGACAAGATTGTAGACCTACACAAGGCTGGAATGGTCTACAAGACCATTGCCAAGCAGCTTGGTGAGAAGGTGACAACAGTTGGTGCGATTATTCGCAAATGGAAGAAACACGAAAGAACTGTCAATCTCCCTCGGCATGGGGCTCCATGCTAGATCTCACCTCGTGGAGTTGCAATGATCATGAGAACGGTGAGATCTCACCAAGAAAACAATTGGTAACACACTACGCCATGAAGGACTGAAATCCTGCAGCGCCCGCAAGGTCCCCCTGCTCAAGAAAGCACATGTACATGCCCGTCTGAAGTTTGCCAATGAACATCTGAATGATTCAGAGGACAACTGGGTGAAAGTGTTGTGGTCATATGAGACCAAAATGGAGCTCTTTGGCATCAACTCAACTCGTCGTGTTTGGAGGAGGAGGAATGCTGCCTATGACCCCAAGAACACCATTCCCACCGTCAAACATGGAGGTGGAAACATTATGCTTTGGGGGTGTTTTTCTGCTAAGAGAACAGGACAACTTCACCGCATCAAAGGGACGATGGACAGGGCCATGTACCATCAAATTTTGGGTGAGAACCTCCTTCCCTCAGCCAGGGCATTGAAAATGGGTCGTGGATGGGTATTCCAGCATGACAATGACCCAAAACACACGGCCAAGGCAACAAAGGAGTGGCTCAAGAAGAAGCACATTAAGGTCCTGGAGTGGCCTAGCCAGTCTCCAGACCTTAATCCCATAGAAAATCTGTGGAGGGAGCTGAAGGTTTGAGTTGCCACACGTCAGCCTCGAAACCTTAATGACTTGGAGAAGATCTGCAAAGAGGAGTGAGACAAAATCCCTCCTGAGATGTGTGCAAACCTGGTGGCCAACTACAAGAAACGTCTGACCTCTGTGATTGCCAACAAGGGTTTTGCCACCAATTACTAAGTCATGTTTTGCAGAGGGGTCAAATACATATTTCCCTCATTAAAATGCAAATCAATTTATAACATTTTTGACATGCGTTTTTCTGGATTTTTTTGTTATTCTGTCTCTCACTGTTCAAATAAACCTACCATTAAAATTATAGACTGATCATTATTTCTTCGTCAGTGGGCAAACGTACAAAGTCAGCAGGGGATCAAATACTTTTTTTCCCTCACTGTAGCCACCACAATGTACAGGCAGTCCACGTTTCTTTCCTGCACAGTTACTTGCGTGTGACGTAATAGTGAAATATATTCTTGAATACAGAGAAACGATTATTATCCACCGCCGCTATTATCATCATGATACTTCCACCCTGCTCGATTCGTGGAGACTCCCAATATCCACTTTTTATCGTCGGTGAGAGAAGTTGCGTGTGGCTCGGGATAATTTTTTTAATGTTCAGTTTGTTGTCTTTCCCCCGCACCTTCAATCAGTATGGTTGGCTACATATGGTGCAAAATAAGTTCAACGTACATACATACATTTATTCGTTTAACACGTAGGCTTTCGCGACCAATATTATCCATAAGAGGATTTTGGGTTAGATCGCGTAAATATAAATGTGACCGTCAAATCCGCCACCACCCGGCAATTAGTAAGGTTTGTCACAAAACGTGCCTATTAGTGACTCGTTCAGCACACCGGTGTGTTGGAAAGGTAAACCCACAACATTTATCGATAGGTAAGAGGTGCACCTGGGAACGGTCATCCACAGGTGCAAAATTTATCCCACTATCCACGAGTTTTCACGAATGAGAGAAGTTGCGCGAAAGTGGTGGAAAATTCACCCAATGGGCAGTGATTATATTATCCGCGGGTAACCACGAGCGGACATTCTGTGTGTGAAGCTCTTTTTCACAAATAAACATAGACAGTAAGGTTCTGCCAACAGCATCCTCACATTAATGCAGATATAAGAGGAGTTTCACCACCTATGGAATTTTGAAAAAAACAAGCCTGTTTTTTAGACTCATCTGTCACGCAAATATAGACTTTAAACACAAAGACTGGAATCTAAACTCTCAGACACAAAGACAAAGTATAGCCATTAACTGACTATTGGGGCAAGTACTGTTAGCGAGCAGCACCTATGAAAGCCGACAGCACACAGGGGGCTGGGTGGCCACAGCACCACACCTGACCGCCTTTGTCTCCCTAGTGGCAATGTTTACACACTGCACCAGGCACTCATTTGAGGCCGAGTCGACCTAGTGAAGGCCCAGGACCAGTTCACATAATCGTCACTCGTGGTGGCCGTGAGCAAGAACCAAACTCAGGTGGCCGGGTTTGAAGCACAGTGGGCTAACCGCTACACTACCGCTCCCCACACACACACACACAAGACACTCACAGAACACACTTTCACACACACATGCAAACAAGCGCAAGTGCTCACACGGGCTCTTACCCGAGGGCCCCACCAGTGACGAAAACCACCCAGATGTAGCCGAGATCCAGCGTGAATGTGAAGATGACCATGGTGACAAACGAAAGGCTGTACACCAGCAGGGTCGTCTGCCTGCCCACACAACGAAAAGCCAAAACAGCCACACTCTGCTTAGGCAGTGCAAATGGTAACACGAGCAAGCAAGTGAAGTGAAAAACATTGACGTGTCTTCTTGGTTCTTTCGGTAAAGTCACATAGAATGGAAATAAAATAATACAAATAAAACATAATATATTATTTAATTTTATTATGTTTTTATTATTTTATTTCCATTCTACGTGACTTTATTATGTTTTATTTTTATTATTTTATTTCCATTCTACATGACTTTACCGAAAGAACCAAGAAGATGAATCCCTGCAGTCACGAAAGCTTTAAATCGAAACATTGACATGGCTGTTTAAATTTTTTAAAAACATTTTTGGTGTTAAATAAAATCGGAACACATGGCAACAAGCTGAAACGCATGCTTAGAAGCACAGAAGAGATGCGTACTTGGAATTAAACTGAGAGAGACAGGGAGAGAAGTACATGGATTGGAGAACAGATGCAAGATAGAGATAATATTGATTTCTGAACAGTGAGTGGGCTTCGGAAGAAGGGATGGAGGCCTGTGGTCGAGCATAATGACGGAGTGGCAGCCAAAGGGGTAAAAACACGCCGGGAGGATGTGCACTGTGGAGATGGAGCAAAGAAATCAGGTCACGTGTGGATGCTAGTTATGTTGTTACATCGCCGGACTGCGAGATACAGCGACAGCTTGGGAAGGCCTTCATCCAGCTGTAAATTGACTCGTGATGGCACAAGCAGCACGGAAAATATATAAAGCACGTACATCGAAATCGTGTAGGAGCGTGTGCGTGCCAACGAACGTGCGCACGGGGAGTGCAGACACGTACTTGTAGGTCTTGGTGCGGTCAAGCCACATGCCACACGCCACTGAACCCACCATGCCGAGCACGACGATGGTGAGGCCAATACGCCCAGCGTTAATCTCCTCGCCCTGCCACAAGGGCGCGCACACACACACACACCGCAGCCCAAGATAAAGAGAAAGCAGCTATACTCAAGTGGGATAACATGGAGAAACATTGCCTCCTACTGTGGAACTCCTGCAGACTGTCTGTGATACATAGCGTCTTCGTGATAGTCTTGGCCTGAATGTTAAATGTACCAAGTTGTCCACAGAGGTTTTTTTTTGGGTTTGATCGCATAAATTAACGCTAATTCAATATATATTTTCATTAATGGTATATGTATTTTACAAAGTTCGTTCCCATCAGTCTATTTACGTCATTTCATTGCTACTCTCTCCCTCAGTTGCACTGCTTCCAGTGCAGCTCATAAATTAGAGCTTTAATCCAATCAGATTTTCCACCTGTGCTGTCTCCGCCTCTTCCGATGAAAAATCTACCATGAGGCCTTCAGGATGTCGAGTGAATCCCCTCTGCTGTTGAAGCAAATGTGGACGATGTTGTTGATTGTCATATTCTTTAACCAATCAGATTTCGAGTTTGCCATGTTGGGCGTATTCTTTGACACGCCGGAGCCTTCTAGCTGGCCTAGCCGCCTACGTCAGCATTTTTCGTGTGGCGTGATCGGATAGCCAGTTAGCTAACTGTAGTAAAACTAGCTAGCACGTAACGTAGCATCATCTAAGATTTATTTAAACTTTCTTTCGTGACGTTTAGATTTTTAAATGTAGCACTTCAGATTTTTTTGTTTCTGTGGGGAAACCTGTTGAATCCTGATTGTGTTATTTGTGTTTTACGGAATTTTTGCTCGCTTGGTGGTCGTACGAGTAAATGTGACTGGTTGTTGCGAGTTTGTTCTTGTTTCTTTGGTAATGATTTGGGCTATGCGATGTCTATTTGTGATGCAGCATCCTGTCATTATGCGTAACAGTGGTACATCCTTGATGGTTTCAGTCACCACGTATTCATGTCTCTGCAATTAGTGTATCGTAACTCTCATAGGTGTCGAGCCTCGTGTTTTTTTATTCCACTCGATGAAGGTTACCGTCACTGTGAATGTGGGGTGGTTACGTCGAATGACAACAGCCTACAGCCCTAGTGTCATGGTGAGGATATTCGAAGGCGATTTAATTGTGGGAGGAGAGCACTGAAGTCCTAAGTGTAAAATAGACAGCGCGCCACTGATATTACTTGATAATACGCTTGCACGCAGCACTAAGCCTGTAGCTATCAGCTCTTAGTACTAAGTCATTATAATTATACCCAGCACGGGCACATCTGTGTCTTGTCCCAACAGTAGTTCTGCAAAACTGAAGCGACTGCATCACAATGCATTACTGTTGGGAGGGGAGCGGTGATGCAGTGAACCCCACAATCCGACCCGAGTTCGGTCACGGCTGACACCTGCGGTAAGTGACATTCAAACCGGTCCTAGGCATTCACCCACTCCCCCACCACCTACTTCAACCCGCCCTGACCAGTGTGGTGAAGTACGGTCAAACCATTCCCATTACGGACACAGGGTTGGGGGTGGACAACATCCAGACGGTGGATTGACAAAGAGTTGCAAAGTAGAATTGGTTGACGGGATCGTAGCGCGGGTCGCCACTCGCTGATCCGCAAGCACACCTTGGCATTATCCTAGAGAGTTATGCTCATAAAACTAGTTGGGGGGGAGGAAATACAAACAGGGGAAACATTCACAGATAAGACTGCTTATGCAAAACATGGCAGCTGAACAAATTGAATGATACTAAAAAGTCAGCATTGTAGTGGATGAACAAACAGCAGCAGTCATAAAACAAAGGTAGGTTAATGAGAGAACTCAAACTGTGAAGGAAAATTAGTGGGGCTTGCGCAGGACACATCAAGGCTAGAAGAGGACGACAGTCAATGGGGAACGGAACACATCTGGTCGGACGTAAAAATACACCGAGGAGATGGAGCGAAGAAACAGGGCTCACGTGCAGGAGCTTGGCAGGCTCGTTATTACATGGCAGGATCGTGAGAGGTGGCAGTGTGGGATGGGTCAGGGAGGCCTTCATCCAGCAGTAGATTTGAACACGGCTTACGGTTTAAAAACACGTAGGCTTTCACGACCAACAGTTGGGTGGAGGGCGGTTTACGACATGCACATTTTCACGCAGTGCGAGCCGACCCAAATAAAGGCAATTACGGATCGTGGCCGATGACCATTGCCGACGGGCAGCAACAAACGGGCGGCGTTAGAGGGCGAGCCCAGCGGTAGGCGGCGAGCCTCACCGGGTAGTGCTCGATCAGCATCTGATTGAGGAGAGTGGAGATGGCGTAGAAGACGCCGGTGATGATCCCTGCGTGGACAAAGATGCGCGCAGGGCGGGGGGGGGGGGGGGGGGGGGGGGGGGGGTGGGGGGGTGGGGGGCGCACGGTGAGACTCGGATCGTTTTTAGTTTCGCGTCCGCGATGAACAGGGAGCGGTTAGGGCTGGAGGGATCATCGGGCAGGGGACGCAGAGTGCATTTTGCACTGCACGTTACACTGATTATAGTTAAGCTGAGAACACCAAAAAAAACTGCTGGTCATGCGAAACGTTTAAAAATAATACAGTATTTGTAGGTGTATACTGTATATATGGTTAACATCGGTGGCGTGAGATTTCTTCAACGGTCGACGTGGGTGTTCCCTTCTTCACGAACCCCACAGTGACCAGCGTGGTGAAGTATGGTTAAACAACGCCCCCTCATGACCGACATGGCAAGGAAGACGTTCATTGAGCAGTGGACTGAAAAAGGGCTGTTCATAATTAGTCTTGTCATTTTATATGCATACATTTATACAGGCCTCCTCTCCTTAATGCGCTTGCATTGAGCCACTTATGTAAGTCAAAAAATTGTAATTCTAAATGTTTTGCAATGACCGAACAGTTATCTAGGTTTGTGTATAATGAACACGAAGAAACATTACGAGTCATCATGAGGTCAGCAATGCATCACCAGGCCTATACTTCATGTTAATGCGTGCGCATTTAATTAAAGCCATTCCACTCCTGGAGCCTTAGAAGGACACACGTGCATCTCTCTTCCTCTCCACACAATCTACCTGCACACTTGAACACTTGCACTTTGGAATCCTCTTGCATGATTTTATTAAGCAGGTTTTCACAATGTTTCCAGGCACGCTAAGCCAACATAAGCCTCGATGGAAACAATTTCACAACTGCTTGCGCTTCTTACATGAACGCACGGTTAGTGCCAACAATTGCACCCACTACATGACAATGAGCACATTACATAAGTAGAACTAGTGAAAAGGCAGCCCCTACATTATTTTGCTTGGTCACGGCACTGTAGGAAAAGGGGCCCCCAGAAACTTGAGAGATTACGCACAATTTATGCCACCACACACGATTTTCCTATAAAATAACTTTGGTGCACCCATTTATACTGCTGAAGGGATTTAAGAAGCTTGTACCATTGTCGCCACTGCCATGCAGGGAGATCGAACAACGGCGACTGTCCGATTGCAAATCGAGTTTGGGCACCATCACAAGTTTCCAACAACACACAAAAAAAGTGTTTAAAAAACCCAGCCTCTGTGCGTTACACAAAAATCCATCAGAGATTCCTGAGCTTCCTGCAGTGTCCTTCACATCTTAGATGACCATCAAAATATATAGTGAGGGAAAAAAGTATTTGATCCCCTGCTGATTTTGTACGTTTGTCCACAGAAAAAGAAATGATCAGTCTATAATTTTATTGGTAGGTTTATTTGAACAGTGAGAGACAGAATAACAACAAAAGAATCCATAAAATGCATGTCAAAAATGTTATAAATTGATTTGCAGTTTTAATGAGGGAAAAAGTATTTGACCCCTCTGCAAAACATGACTTAGTACTTGGTGGCAAAACCCTTGGTGGCAATCACAGAGGTCAGACGTTTCGAGGCTGACGTTTGGCAACTCGAACCTTCAGCTCCCTCCACAGATTTCCTATGGGATTAAGGTCTGAAGACTGGCTAGGCCACTCCAGGACCTTAATGTGCTTCTTCTTGAGCCACTCCTTTGTTGCCTTGGCCGTGTGTTTTGGGTCATTGTCATGCTGGAATACCCATCCATGACCCATTTTCAATGCCCTGGCTGAGGGAAGGAGGTTCTCACCCAAGATTTGATGGTACATAACCCTGTCCATCGTCCCTTTGATGCGGTGAAGTTGTCCTGTCCCCTTAGCAGAAAAACACCCCCAAAGCATGTTTCCACCTCCATGTCTGACGGTGGGGATGGTGTTCTTGGGGTCATAGGCAGCATTCCTCCTCCTCTAAACACGGCGAGTTGAGTTGATGCCAAAGAGCTCCATTTTGGTCTTATATGACCACAACACTTTCACCCAGTTGTCCTCTGAATCATTCAGATGTTCATTGGCAAAACTTCAGACGGGCATGTACATGTGCTTTTTTGAGCAGGGGGACCTTGCGGGCGCTGCAGGATTTCAGTCCTTCACGGCGTAGTGTGTTACCAATTGTTTTCTTGGTGACTATGGTCCCAGCTGCCTTGAGATCATTGACAAGATCCTCCCGTGTAGTTCAGGGCTGATTCCTCACCGTTCTCATGATCATTGCAACTCCACGAGGTGAGATCTTGCATGGAGCCCCAGGCTGAGGGAGATTGACAGTTATTTTGTGTTTCTTCCATTTGCGAATAATCGCACCAACTGTTGTCACCTTCTCACCAAGCTGCTTGGCAATAGTCTTGTAGCCCATTCCAGCCTTGTGTAGGTCTACAATCTTGTCCCTGACATCCTTGGAGAGGCTCTTTGGAATTGGCCATTGTGGAGAGTTTGGAATCTGACTGATTGATTGCTTCTGTGGACAGGTGCCTTTTATACAGGTAACAAGCTGAGATTAGGAGCACTCCCTTTAAGAGTGTGCTCCTAATCTCAGCTCGTTACCTGTATAAAAGACACCTGGGAGCCAGAAATCTTTCTGATTGAGAGGGAGTCAAATACTTATTTCCCTCATTAAAATGCAAATCAATTTATAACATTTTTGACATGCGTTTATCTGGATTTTGTTATTGTTATTCTGTCTCTCACTGTTCAAATAAACCTACCATTAAAATTATAGACTGATCATTTCTTTGTCAGTGGGCAAACGTACAAAGTCAGCAGGGGATCACATACTTTTTTCCCTCACTGTATTTTTTAAATATGTGACAGACTGACAACAGCAGCAGCGTTGTAATGCGACACTACTGCAAAGTATCCTCACCTCGATCTCACCGTTGCAAAGTATGCCTCTGGGAACTGTGGATTTTTCTCAACATTTACATATTTGATCATTGCACCACGCCAGCATCCCATGCAAGTTCTAAAAATGTGAATGTTTAAACGTGTATTATTATTACTACTACAGCTTTTAGTCTCACGATCTTTTGATTAAAATCATGGAAGCAAAATGCTTGATTTGCTGATGACTGTCTATGCAATAAACATGTGCCACTCTTTGAGATGCAGTCACATTTATCCCCCCCCCTGTATAAATACACATTGTATCATATTTCTGTGACTGTTGTAGTGCCCCTTATGTTCTTCAATGCCGCCTACCTGCTGCGCCTGATTATTTCAGCTCAGTAGTTGCTGGATTTAATAGCTATAGAAATTACAAAAGAATAGGCCCCCAGAAACTTAATGCTCATAATCCCCGACGTTATGGTACCCTTATTAACTTGGCTCTCGCAAACGCATGCATCGTCTCAAGAACAAAATACAGGTTTATAAGCAACGCCAATGTCGGACAAAAAAAGTAGTCTTTTCATTTCCTACATTATATCCCAACTGTGCTTTTGGCATCTTGCCATCAGGAAACCGCACACAAGCAGTGAACTACGTGTGCCAGAGAATGGGCCAGCTGAACCAATGGTCTCACAAGGTCTTCTGAACGGTCTTTAAAGGGCTGTTCATAATTACAGTCTTGTCATTTTCTATGCATACATTTCTATAGGCCTCCTCTCCTTAATGCACTTGCATTGAGCCACTTATGTAAGTCAAAAAATTGTAATTCTAAATGTTTTGCAATGACCGAACAGTTATCTAGGTTGTGTATAATGAACACGAAGAAACATTACGAGTCATCATGAGGTCAGCAATGCATTCCCAGGCCTATACTTCATGTTAATGCGTGCGCATTTAATTAAAGCCATTCCACTCCTGGAGCCTTAGAAGGACACACGTGCACCTCTCTTTCTCTCCACACAATCTACCTGCACACTTGAACACTTGCACTTTGGAATCCTCTTGCATGATTTTATTAAGCAGGTTTTCACAATGTTTCCAGGCACGCTAAGCCAACATAAGCCTCGATGGAAACAATTTCACAACAACTTCCTGTGCTTCTTACATGAACGCACGGTTAGTGCCAACAATTGCACCCACTACATGATAATGAGCCAATTACATAAGTAGAACTAGTGAAAAGGCAGCCCCTACAATATTTTGCTTGGTCACGGCACTCCAGGAAAAGGGGCCCCCAAAAACTTGAGAGATTACGCACAATTTATGCCACCACACACGATTTTCCGATAAAATAACTTTGGTGCACCCATTTATACTGCTGAAGTGATTTAAGAAGCTTGTACCATTGTCGCCACTGCCATGCAGGGAGATCGAACCACGGCGACTGTCAGATTGCAAGTCGAGTTTGGACACCACCACAAGTTTCCAACAACACACAAAAAAAGTGTTTAAAAAAACCCAGCCTCTGTGCGTTACACAAAAATCCATCAGAGTTTCCTGAGCTTCCTGCAGTGGCCTTCGCATCTTAGATGACCATCAAAATAAATAGTGAGGGAAAAAAGAATTTGATCCCCTGCTGATTTTGTACGTTTGCCCAATGACAAAGAAATGATCAGTCTATAATTTTAATGGTAGGTTTATTTGAACGGTGAGAGAGAACAAAAAAATTAAGAAAAACGCATGTCAAAAATGTTATAAACTGATTGGCATTTTAATAAGGGAAATAAGTATTTGACCCCTCTGCAAAACATGACTTAGTACTTGGGGGCAAAACCCTTGGTGGCAATCACAGAGGTCAGACGTTTCTTGTAGTTGGCCACCAGGTTTGCACACATCTCAGGAGGGATTTTGTCCCACTCCTCTTTGCAGATCTTCTCCAAGTCATTAAGGTTTCGAGGCAGACGTTTGGCAACTTGAACCTTCAGCTCCCTCCACAGATTTTCTATGGGATTAAGGTCTGGAGACTGGCTAGGCCACTCCAGGGCCTTAATGTGCTTCTTCTTGAGCCACTCCTTTGTTGCCTTGGCCGTGTGTTTTGGGTCATTGTCATGCCGGAATACCCATCCACGACCCATTTTCAATGCCCTGGCTGAGGGAAGGAGGTTCTCACCCAAGATTTGATAGTACATGGCCCTGTCCATCGTCCCTTTGATGCGGTGAAGTTGTCCTGTCCCCTTAGCAGAAAAACACCCCCAAAGCATGATGTTTCCACCTCCATGTTTGACGATGGGGATGGTATTCTTGGGGTCATAGGCAGCATTCCTCCTCCTCCAAACACGACGAGTTGAGTTGATGCCAAAGAGCTCCATTTTGGTCTCATCTGACCACAACACTTTCACCCAGTTGTCCTCTGAATCATTCAGATGTTCATTGGCAAACTTCAGACGGGCATGTACATGTGCTTTTTTTGAGCAGGGGGACCTTGCGGGCGCTGCAGGATTTCAGTCCTTCACGGCGTAGTGTGTTACCAATTGTTTTCTTGGTGACTATGGTCCCAGCTGCCTTGAGATCATTGACAAGATCCTCCCGTGTAGTTCTGGGCTGATTCCTCACCGTTCTTATGATCATTGCAACTCCACGAGGTGAGATCTTGCATGGAGCCCCAGGCCGAGGGAGATTGACAGTTATTTTGTGTTTCTTCCATTTGCGAATAATCGCACCAACTGTTGTCACCTTCTCACCAAGCTGCTTGGCAATAGTCTTGTAGCCCATTCCAGCCTTGTGTAGGTCTACAATCTTGTCCCTGACATCCGTGGAGAGGCTCTTTGGTCTTGGCCATGGTGGAGAGTTTGGAATCTGATTGATTGATTGCTTCTGTGGACAGGTGCCCTTTATACAGGTAACAAGCTGAGATTAGGAGCACTCCCTTTAAGAGTGTGCTCCTAATCTCAGCTCGTTACCTGTATAAAAGACACCTGGGAGCCAGAAATCTCTGATTGAGAGGGAGTCAAATACTTATTTCCCTCATTAAAATGCAAATCAATTTATAACAATTTTGACATGCGTTTATCTGGATTTTGTTGTTGTTATTCTGTCTCTCACTGTTCAAATAAACCTACCATTAAAATTATAGACTGATCATTTCTTTGTCAGTGGGCAAACGTACAAAGTCAGCAGGGGATCACATACTTTTTTCCCTCACTGTATTTTTTAAATATGTGACCGACTGACAACAGCAGCAGCGTTGTAATGCGACACTACTGCAAAGTATCCTCACCTCGATCTCACCGTTGCAAAGTATGCCTCTGGGAACTGTGGATTTTTCTCAACATTTACATATTTGATCATTGCACCACGCCAGCATCCCATGCAAGTTCTAAAAATGTGAATGTTTAAACGTGTATTATTACTACTACAGCTTTTAGTCTCACGATCTTTTGATTAAAATCATGGAAGCAAAATGCTTGATTTGCTGATGACTGTCTATGCAATATACATGTGCCACTCTTTGAGATGCAGTCACATTTATCCCCCCCCCCCTGTATAAATACACATCGTATTATATTTCTGTGACTGTTGTAGTGCCCCTTATGTTCTTCAATGCCGCCTACCTGCTGCGCCTGATTATTTCAGCTCAGTAGTTGCTGGATTTAATAGCTATAGAAATTACAAAAGAATAGGGCCCCAGAAACTTAATGCTCATAATCCCCGACGTTATGGTACCCTTATTAACTTGGCTCTCCCAAACGCATGCATCGTCTCAAGAACTCCATTCAGGTTTATAAGCAACGCCAATGTCGGACAAAAAAAGTAGTCTTTTCATTTCCTACATTATATCCCAACTGTGCTTTTGGCATCTTGCCATCAGGAAACCGCACACAAGCAGTGAACTACGTGTGCCAGAGAATGGGCCAGCTGAACCAATGGTCTCACAAGGTCTTCTGAACGGTCTTTAAAGTAGGCCCTTTCACGCTTTGCATCGTAGGCGGCGTACTTTTCCACATGGTCCACTCACTACGAGATTGCTGCATGACAATAAAATCTATAAACAGTTGATCATCGATTATCTGCAGCGCGCGATTATTCGGCTTCCAACATTATCTGGTTGTCCCGGGCCGATCCGGCAAAACTGCTCCAAAGGCTGTAACCAGTCCGGCGATCCTCAAACACATGGCTGTGTTGGAACAAGAGCATAGAACGACGTATATCACCCAATCCAGAGTCTTCGATATTAGTGGTAAGTACGGAACAGTAAATACAACAACTTTTTAAAGTAGAATATGTATTCGTCTATTTGTATGCTTATTTATGCCAATTTAATCTAATAAACACATTCTAAACACTAAAAACAGCATATACACAACACCAACATAACATTTTGCCAGAATATAAGCTATTTAAAATAATTATGTGATTATCCAGCATTTTTGTAAATCCGGTGCCCCCTTCCTTCTGAAGCTGCCGGATAATCGATGATCTACTGTATATCTTTAACATTTTCAGCGCTTGATTGGAGAAAAATCAAGTGCAAGACCAAACTTAATGTGATGCGTGTTTTTTTGTGTGCAGGCAGCTACACTGGTGACCGGTCTGAGACCATCAATGCACTACACTTGTGAACCGGTTTTAATATCATGGACGTCTGCCTAGATTCGTACCCAGGTGTCTCAGCGTTGTCAGCTCAGCGCTCGAACCTCTGAGCCACTAGGCCAAATTCGTGTTAAACAGAGAGTCATTATGGGCAGCGGGCCATAATTTCACCTCTCCTTGAATGTCCCTCTCCTATTGAACACACCGTCCTATTGTACCTACCAGCGTTTTTGTTACAAAATAAAAACACTACAAAAAAACAGGCAGTAATTCTTAGCATACAGTGTGCAGTGTATTGTGTTGAATGATGCCATCACCGTGGTGGTTTGTGATGGATTTGCCACGGTAACAAATCATCTCTCGTCCACCCCCCTGCCGCTACAGGATTCGGTGGCTTGGGGAGGCCTGCATCCAGCAGTGGATTGACCACTGCTGAAGATGATGATGACTTGGGCTACTAAGCACGTACTGCCTCCAGCCTATCAGTGACATGGAAACCCAACGACTGCATTCGCAGCTTGTGCTATATGGCTGTCAGACTTATTTTCATGTTGTGCTGCGCATTGTTCGGCATGATGTCTGACGTTTCGCTCCACATGCCAAATTACAGAAACTAAGCCGTGATCGTGATGCTTACCATAGGTGATGGCGAGAAGCACAAAGCCGCGATTGTACATGAGGCGCTTCAAGGAGCCCAAGTAGGAGTACTCATGCTCGGGAGGGTTGTACCAGAGCAGTGCCTGTGCTGGACTCGGAGGTAGAGAAGGTTTTTCCCGGAACACTATGCAGACAGCACATCGCGCACACACGCACATCAACGCACCTCCGATGAGCACGGTTGGCTATGTACAGTGTGAAAGAATATCAACATACATACATACAACGCACTCACCGATGCACGCACCGCGAGTTTGCTGCCGTGCCAAATGCGACATTAAAATGAGATGCGATTAGAGGCAGTCAGGTGGCACAGAGGTCAGAGTGGAAAGAGCTGGCATCACTGAGGATCCATGGGTTTGAATTCTGGTTTCAGCCACCTGTGAATAAACCGGGTTTTTCGAGCGTAGCGAGTTGATGGTCTCTGTCTGGAACAACAATGACTGGATAAAGCAAGAATCACTCTGCATTGAATATGGATACATTCCAGCAATGGCAATAAAAAGACTGGTTTTGACATTCATACAAAATCTTGACTTAAAGCTTTCGTGACTGCAGGAATTAATATTCTTTAGGTCATTCGGCAAAGTCACTTTGATAGGTTTGAACCTATCAACGTGACTTTACCAAAAGACCCAAAGAATATTCAGACAAAATAAAACATTTCATCTCATATGCAGGGTGGAACAGTCCGACCCTCTAATGTGTGGACCAGAGGTCACTTGAATGCATCTCAAGAAGTAGTTTTGTGATATCCGCTTCTGTGGTCCATTCTCTAATACGAAGGGTGCATTGCTCTGCGAGTGTTATGAATAGATTCTTCATCTTATGACATCATGCCGATTGCCCAATCACAACATCGTTCTCTAAATATAACTATCATCATTCAGCCATGTTCAATCCCCTAATGGAAAGTTCAAATCCACTGCGACAATCTCTCACAATCCTGCGATGTAATAATCCACCGAGTACCTGCACACAAGCTGATATCATCGCTCCATCTCCTCGGTAATCCACCTCTCATAAAAACGAATTTAAAAGCGATATTAATAACATCCTGTATATGTATTCACTGGTTGCTTGACCAAGTACAGAACTCAAAATCATCATCATGCAAAGCACCTGTGTGTATATCGCACACTCTGCTGCACAGCTGCTAAAAGCTGTCGATATTCCAATGTTAAATCGCGGACCATCACAATTGCAACTTAGTATTTTTTGGTTCTTTCGGTAAAGTCACCTACGTGACGTGACCTATGTGACTTTACCAAAAGAACCAAGGAGTATGGATTCCTGCAGTCACGAAAGCTTCAAATCAAGATAAGTATTTTTTGCTGTCAATTGTCTTGGAATCCACTCAAACTTTCCCGTATTCTCCGGGACTAAAACTTTCGCGATTTCTCCGGACTATGTGTTGTGCTTTCCCCCTGGATTTTATAGCAAAAGTTGGAGGTACATATTATATTATAATATTATAATCCACTAAGTTTGTACACGACCAGATTTATGTCATCTACAATGGGCACGAGTTTGGAGTTAGTCGTGTACGCATTTTATAATGGTCTCAAGAATATAGTGCTTGCTTGGCTTTGTGACAAAGAAGCCACATAAAGCAGGATCGGTCTAACAGGGTAAGCTAGTTTGTTGGGCAGCGTCACGCCACTCAATAGCCTAAAAAAAAAACTCAACCTCCTGTGTAGCAGCCGGCTTTGTTTATACTAATTATTTCATCTCCAGTCACATGACTCACAATATACACATTTTTCACATGCAGCTTGTTAACATAATTGTATGTCATATTTAAAGTTAACCAAGGTAATGACCGTTTTACAACTGATGAACACGTGAACGGAAAATGTATTGGAAGGTCGATTAAATGAGTCATGAAGCCTTGAATAAAAAAAAAATACATGAAATGCAAGCAGTGATGGGTTAGGAAAAACAAGTTCATTGCAGTTAAATCAACTAGTTTAGATTTTCCAGATGTTCCAGTTTAACTCGTACGGTTAATAATAAAACTAACTTACAGCCTTTTTTCAAACTGCTGCTGGCTGTAGAGCTCCCCATGCCGTGTCAGTCATGGTTGCTGTTTGACCATACTTCACCGTGTTAGTCCCCGCCGGTTGGCGAAGGGGAGGCAGAGGCGAAGAACGTGGCAATACCGATTGAGATTTCACTTGCCACTGATGTAAGCCATGACTGGGAATCAAGCTCAGCTCGATAGGTTCATCAGGCAGCGCGGTAAGCACTGTTACCACTCCCCCCCCCCATCAACATGTTTATACGTGCATGGTACAGATATCAGAGTTGCTTGGAAAAGGTATTCAACATGAAATAAAACATCTGGCATATGGTACCAAATGCACAATAAGGTATTGATTAACATCAATCAAATTGTAAAAATATTTCGACCGCATCCATTATTTTCGTCTTCCCCCTCCTCTTTTCCGAACATAGATGGACTCGTCCATCTGAATAACTGCCAAATCGCTCTCCGTGGTGCTAACGTAAAAAAAACGCCACTTTTTAAAAAAAATTCTTGCTGTGGTTTTCACACCTGATCATGATGCTTGTGTTGCAGTCGAAACGTCGTGATAATTTTATTGTTTTATATTTTTATTATTGTATTGTTTCTCTTCTACGTGACTTTACCGAAAGAACCAAGAATATGAATCCCTGCAGTCACGAAAGCTTTCAATCAAAATCATACCAACCTCGCTAAATGTATTTTGGGTTATTATTCAAGGACAGTGGAGCGGTGACACAATCATTAGCAAGTGCGCCCTGAACAAGATTTCAGTTCCCAGTCACAGATAATATAACCTGAGTGATCGGTGATATCTGGTATGGTTCTGAGCCTGCCCCACCCTCTCAATGACCCCTTCACCAATCCACACTGACCAATGTGGTGGAGTATGGTCAAACAGCTCTCATGGCCTACAAGGTGGAGAAGCCTCCATCCAGCAGTGATTCGACAAATGGATGTAAATGTTTCACGTTGAACAAAGAACACTATGGATGACATCCATCGTGTTCCATCTACCAAACCTGGAGGCAAAGGACGCTGTGGGTATATCAAGATGAACTTATAGAAGTTAATGATGAAATTGTATGAAACACGGCAGCTGGAATTTAGTGTTGATCGTAGTCGTCACAGTAAGAGCAGGTGAAGAGACATAACGTGTGATTTAGGTATGGGCAACTATGATTTACCTGCTGTGCAGCAAGATGTTTGTAAGAGGAAGTGCAGTAAGTAGGTTACTGGCCTATGATGTAGGAAGTGTGGGTATTCTCTGCTCGCAAATTTGGGCTTTTAATTTTTCCATCCACACGAGTATTTTTTGCTTTCTTATTTTACCATGTAAGGCCTACTGAGCTATGCAGTTTTTTTTTCAGAAGTGAACTGGTCACAAATCATAGCTCAACGAAGTGGCTTATCAAGTGGACATTTATAGCAGTGAAATACTCTAATCGCATGTTTCTAAATGTGGAGGGATAAAACCGGAGGACCCAGAGAAAAATCAATGCGGCCATGGGGAGAACATTCAAACTCCAAATATACAGGTGGCAGAATATAGATCAGACCTACAACCTCCTATATACCAGGAGCGGAAGTTAACATCTCGTCATCGCGGCGCCCTTCCGCCACCATGTCAAAATGTTCATTAAAATAAAATGTTTAACCACTCACAGCAGCCCCTTGCTGAAAATGTCACTTGATACATGTGTCATTGTCAGCATAAACTGTCAATATTATACATTTTATGCAATACCCTGCATTTTGGAATATGGTACATTTGGTTCAACTCCGTTTGAAACGCACATCTGAAAACTCACAATTGAGAATGCAAAAATTGTTATAAAAGAACGTTTTAAAATTGCTCACATTAAGATTTGTTCATAACTGTCTGATGTTAACACATGAATGTCTGTCTGTGATAAGCATTGGGTGAATTGGCCCATGGAGATGGCCTTTCTTAAAATACAGTAATGTTCAAAGCCTCTTTTAACTTTCATTCTTTAAATTATTTGTAGTGGCTTTCACAAAATGTATTTGTTAAAAATACGTGCCCGATTCAGATCAACCATGGGGGTGGGGGGGGGGCGACGTTTTTGTTGTTTGCTATTTACAATTTGCCGAACACAGTGCTCAATGATGCACAACACCGAGCAGCCAGCAACAAACAGCACCGAGGGCAAGTTAACAAAGATGACTGCAGCAAAGTGTGTGTGTGAACGGCCAGTGGGGTGGGAGGTGGGGTTGGTGGGTGGACGCCGCCAGTCCTCACGTAGGGTGACGAGCAGGAACACCGCGGTGGAAACGGCCGCCGCTCCGTAGAACATGCAGCTGATGTTGTAGCCGAGCTCGGAGACCTCCTCCGAGTAAGGAACAATCAGGGGCGGTAGAAGAAATCCCAGTGCGATCCCCACCTACCACCGCACACGCAACCACGCCAAGACAACGACAATCCCTCGTCACCTTCGCGTTAGAACATTTGCCGAAGGTTCTGTTATTAAATGAGGCGGGCAACGACAGTTGAAGTGACGCAGCGTGGCAACAGCGCCCGGCTGCGCACGCCCTCCCAGCGGTGATGCTGACCCGTTGGGAGACGAAGCACTGGCTCTTCGGACTGTCATCTGGGGAGAAGTTATGGAACATGTTCCGATGCTAATTTAAACTGGTATTGTGCATGAAGATGAGTAATTTTAGCTGGGCTTCAGATAATAGCTTAATGTGCTATGCACTGTTCCGTCACTCCTCACACACAATGTTGATGACGATGTGTATTAAAAGCAAAGCAATACCTGAACACATTAAACCACTTAAAATCACATTTCACACCTTAATATATATGAATCAGAATCATTCCCACCACACAAAGCCACTTACACATTACAGCTCCAATAAACTAAACTCAACGTTTTCTTTTACCAGGTAAGGTCCACCGAGCTATAGCTCTTTTTTTGCAACGGTTTTACTTAACTTGACTCCTCTGTTTGTCGTGGTCAAATCTTGTAATGAAAATTTAGTCTACTTCCTGTTGTACAATCACTTCCAAAGTTTGCACACGTACTCAGATCCGGTGACAATGCACCAAATTATACAATTAATTCGCTACTTTAAATAAATTCACATTTTGTATGGACGCCTTATTATTTATATATATTTGTGTAGGTAAAACACGCCGCGGTTCCTAAACTCTCGAATCCCCTGCTCCGTGTGAACCAGTTACGGAAGCAATCAATTATTTCAAGTAAGCGTTGATGTGGGAGCAGGCGCCGCATCATTGACGTACTTCTCGACCGTGAATTAAACGAAGTTGTTAATAAAACCGTTGTTTAAAAAAAACTTTTTTTAAGGAGTTTATTTAGAAGTAATATGGACACTAAACCACACGCTTGCTGACCATTTCACACAATATAGCCACTGACACTTGTGGAACATGTGCTGTTGACTCTAAACTGGAATCAACCCATGCAGAACACCGTTAAACGGTTTTAGGCAGTGTAAGGCAACGCGCTTATTTGAATGAACCCACTGAATTTATTGGATATCAACTGCGGTTTCCGTCAATAGTAACATTGCATTGGTTTGCCTATATTAAATGCAAAGTAACATCTTTGTGTATATGTTGAACTTATTTTGCACCGTACATAGCCAACTAAGCTAATCAGGTGTGGGGGAAGGCTAACAAACTAAAACACAAACACCAGTTGTAAAGAAATTAGTTTTCAATCTAGATTTCAAAGTGGATAGCTCCAGTGGCTTCCTAATATCGGAAGAGCGTTCCAGATGGCCAGAGAGGCGCACCCGAAAGCGTGCCATGTAATGACCGTCTTTGTTCGATGGTTAGCCAAAAGCCACTGCGAGGATGATTTTTATTAAATGACTGCACTTAAGAGACCCAGAAGGTCAAAACTAATCCAGTTTGCCTGCTGAAACAAATTCTGCCGTTAAACATCGGTCCATGAGCCAATCGGCTGATGGACCCGAAATGTAAATTTTTTCTGAAAAGACATGGGTTTGTCACTTATTCATTCATTAACATGATAGATGACTTTTCGAACACAGTTAGTTGAGACACTATACATTTACTTTCACATGTTCAACTCACTGAACCTGAAAATCCTAAAGGGTCAAGTAGCTTAAACATTAAAGTTTGTGCGTTCACACAGAAAAACAAGAGGTCAAAGTGTCTCTGCTCAATGGAACAAGACGTCACGTTCATCTGCATCGGGCGCTCTGAGCCAACGGTGGAAATTCCCTATTCCTATTGTCTGTGCGTGGAATAAACACTAAACACTTCTCGCAAAACATACGTACAGCCCTTTGTCAATTTTACGATTGGATAAAATCCACTCCATGCTATGTCAGGCAAGGGGATTATTTGACCATATTTGACAACACTAGCCAGTGCAGGCTGGTGAAGGGGGTGCCCAGGCCTGTTTCAAATACAGCTTAACACTGATGTTAGCCACAGCCAGCAATCAAACTCGGGTCGCCTGGTTAATAGCAGTGCGCTAACCACTGTGCTACTGCTCCCCCTTTCCTCCCAATAATTAATGAAAAAAATGTGTCACACATGTACAGATTGATCGAAACATGGACATTCAGAGGCGTGAGAGAATAAATGAAATAACATTCTTAAGATTCTTATAGAAGTGATTATGCCGATGGGTGGTACAGTGCAAGTGGAGGAGGGAGTACATTCTAGCAACTTGAGCTGTGACAGGGTCTCTATGAGAGTCGATGGGCATTAGACTATGGAGGGACCGAATTCCTAACAACCAGAGCTGTGAAAAAGAAGCGACGTTTGTCTAGTCTGGTTTGAGAGACTCAGAGCTTGACAAGGAGGAGCAGGCCACTTGAGACCAACCGAAGGTTGCAAGGTGGAACTTACAATGAGACGGCAGAAGCTAAGCAGGCCGGTTGACCCAAAAGGTGTTTTTCAACAGAAAATATCACTTCTATCCACCCTGGAGGAATTATGGGCCGAGTCAACACCTAACCGAAATTCAACTGAGAGCGGAGTGGTCTGCGAGTACCGCAGTGCAAGCAGCTCCCTTTAGATGCTGCACTTTAAACAATCTCTTTCACCCTCCGACGTGTTTTCGGGTTATGCCATGTGTTGTTAGGCATGGTGTCCGACGTTATGCAGCACACGCTGGGAGCTTTTTCAGGAACGGACTGCGAAACAACACGCGGTACAACCTGAAAAACAACCAGAGCGGTACAGCACAACGATGAAAAACGCACACCAAGTACGACCTCCTTTACTTGGAAAGCAGTGAAATGTTGCAAAGCAAACACACGTTCCGTAAACTAGTGAGCTCTGTTTAATCTTATCTAATGTGCCAATGGCACTTCTGCACAACAAACAGCCCGACCACTTCACTATTTAATCAAATCTAGTGTGTCCTGGCAACAAGAACTTAAATTGACAACACAGTCTGTGCCATGTGAGCTTTAAGTCACAAATCATGTTAGCAGAGAAACTCATGATCACATTTGTTAAAGCAGTCGGCTTTGTAAGTCCAACTTATAATCGGATCTGATTATGAGGGTCATTTGCTGAAAGCTCAGTGAATGCAATGGTCACTGGAAATATTCACAACAGTGGATTAATTTATAAGTTCATTAACAATTATGCAACATAAAAATTCCATCAGATGCCACGTATTTTCTCTCTCGCTTCGCTTAAGAATCTATGAGTTCTCTTAACACTCTCAAGGGCTATTCATTGACAGAGTTGTGAGAAACGTGAAGTTAAATGCTTTTATAATGCAGTCGTAACAAGTTTATGTACGTATATACTGGATTGTACCAAAAGGCAATGCCAAACTATGCAACAATGAGTGTGCTTTGGTGGAACAATGGTTGGTATCCTGCAATACGAACCCAGCGGGTCTGAATCCCGGCCAGGGCCAAACTCAGTGACCAGTGATATCTGACCCAATCCTGCCCTCGTCCCTCCTACACCAATCCGCACCTACCAGCATGGTGAAGTACGCTAACAAAAAAAGACCCCCATGGCCCACATGGTATGGGAAGGCCATCATTCACTGATGGATTGAGAATGGCTGGAATTTCTCATTTTACAGTATTTCATTAATTACAGTGAACAATTGTGGCTGTGTAGCTTGGAAAATGAGGCACAATCCCAATCCGTAAACGATAAGAAAACTCATCACAACAGAAACTATTATAGATGTAATGACACGCAAATGTGAGCAACTACCAGCTGAGAAGAACTGAACGAGTGTGGCTATTTTATCATTTCAACCACAAACGCAACATTTCTGTGCAGTTTCTTGTCATATACAGATTTTAATGTATTGTTCTCTTAGGCAAGTGTGAATGGGGTCCAGTTAGTGTCAATATATGCGGCTCCAAGAGGCATACGGTAGCAGTGAACATAGATGACAGTACAGAGTCAAAATCAGAATCTTTATTTATCCTGGAGGAATCCGATGAGCTATGAAGATCTATTTCTCACATGTCCAGTAGAGGCTCGTTAGAATGTCACAACAACAAACAATACAAAAACACCATCGGAGTTCAAAGTATAGGAGAGGTAAGCAAATAACGTAAAATAGATTAAATATATTAGTTAAAATTGCATAAATACACAAATTGCCAAGCTCGGGCAAGGCAGCAAAACAACAGCAAAAACAGTCCCAGACCACACCAAGACAACACGCAGTCCCTCAAAAAAATTGGAGATTAAAATTTAACTATTAATACATGGGTAAGGATGAAAGTTAAAAATTCCATTTGTAAATGCAGTTGTATCCAGCACTAAACTCCTACTTCAGCATATTGTTTAAAGGAAGTTTAGCGATATTAACAGAGAAAACAAGGAACGAAATAGGAGGATTTCTCCACAAATCTGGCTGTCGCCTGATTAAACTAGTTTTAATTACTGGCAAAGCGTCGTAAACAGATTGTTAATGTTGTGGATTTTCTCTCCAACACACCGGTGTGCTGTACTAGTAATGAATTGGCATGTTCTGTTTACGTGACGAACCTTACTAATTGGCTGTCGGGTGGTGGCGGGTTTAAAGACACATTTATATTTACACGCTCGAACCCACAAACCTATATTATGGATGATATTGGTCGCGAAAGCCTACTAGGTGTTAAACTGGAGAAAACAAGGTTGTTCCAGAACATAGGGTGCTGAAACGGCACACTCTGTCACCTGTTCTGGGGATAGATAAAAGGCTATTAAAAGGACGTCTTATGTTGATTGGGTTTGAGTTATGAGGATAAAACCGGTCTACAGTTGGGTCTTCGATTCACTGCTGCATGCTGGGATGACCGCATTTTTAAAATCATTGGGCTAGACCACGTAATCCATTGTGACCCAGGCCAAATATCAATTTATGAATCGTTTGCTATACCCATGATTTAGATACAAATCATACGACAATCTGTACTAAATAAAAGGCCACAACACACATTGCACGTGACATTGAACAAAGCCGTGAAACCAATGTTGGGATAATGGCAAAAGATTTCAACTATATTACCTGCTCGTAAAAACAAGATGTTCCTGCTGTTTAAAAGTTGCATGTTTATTTTGGGAGAGTGTTGTTTTCTTAGTTGCAGGTTTTAATGTCAAAGGTGAACAACGACTCATAGTTACGGAGGTAGTTAAACAAAGCGAAGTAAAGTTAACTTAATCTGAACACTATTATCCAGTTTAATACATAGGCTTTCACGACCAATATTATGCGTAAGAGGTTTTTTTTGGGTTAGATCCGTACATTTTAATGTGTCGTTAAACTATTATCCAGGTTGGGCAAAGACAATGAGTCGGTCACATACTTAAAAAATACAGTGAGGGAAAAAAGTATTTGATCCCCTGCTGATTTTGTACGTTTGACCACTGAAAAAGAAATGATCAGTCTATAATTTTAATGGTAGGTTTATTTGAACAGTGAGAGACAGAATAACAAAAAAATCCAGAAAAAAGCATGTCAAAAATGTTATAAATTGATTTGCATTTTAATGAGGGAAATAAGTATTTGACCCCCTCTCAATCAGAAAGCGTTCTGGCTCCCAGGTGTCTTTTATACAGGTAACGAGCTGAGAATAGGAGCACACTCTTAAAGGGAGTGCTCCTAATCTGAGCTTGTTACCTGTATAAAAGACACCTGTCCACAGAAGCAATCAATCAATCAGATTCCAAACTCTCCACCATGGCCAAGACCAAAGAGCTCTCCAAGGATGTCAGGGGCAAGATTGTAGACCTACACAAGGCTGGAATGGGCTACAATACCATTGCCAAGCAGCTTGGTGAGAAGGTGACGGCAGTTGGTGCGATTATTCGCAAATGGAAGAAACACAAAAGAACTGTCAATCTCCCTCGGCCTGGGGCTCCATGCAAGATCTCACCTCGTGGAGTTGCAATGATCATGAGAACGGTGAGGAATCAGCCCAGAACTACACGGGAGGATCTTGTCAATGATCTCAAGGCAGCTGGGACCAGAGTCACCAAGAAAACAATTGGTAACACACTACACCGTGAAGGACTGAAATCCTGCAGCGCCTGCAAGGTCCCCCTGCTCAAGAAAGCACATATACATGCCCGTCTGAAGTTTGCCAATGAACATCTGAATGATTTAGAGGACAACTGGGTGAAAGTGTTGTGGTCAGATGAGACCAAAAATGGAGCTCTTTGGCATCAACTCAACTCGCCATGTTTGGAGGAGGAGGAATGTTGCCTATGACCCCAAGAACACCATCCCCACCGTCAAACATGGAGATGGAAACATTATGCTTTGGGGGTGTTTTTCTGCTAAGGGGACAGGACAACTTCACCACATCAAAGGGACGATGGACGGGACCATGTACCATCAAATCTTGTGTGAGAACCTCCTTCCCTCAGCCAGGGCATTGAAAATGGGTCGTGGATGGGTATTCCAGCATGACAATGACCCAAAACACACGACCAAGGCAACAAAGGAGTGGCTCAAGAAGAAGAAGCACATTACGGTCCTGGAGTGGCCTAGCCAGTCTCCAGACCTTAATCCCATAGAAAATCTGTGGAGGGAGCTGAAGGTTCGAGTTGCCAAACGTCAGCCTCGAAACCTTAATGACTTGGAGAAGATCTGCAAAGAGGAGTGGGACAAAATCCCTCCTGAGATGTGTGCAAACCTGGTGGCCAACTACAAGAAACGTCTGACCTCTGTGATTGCCAACAAGGGTTTTGCCACCAAGTACTAAGTCATGTTTTGCAGAGGGGTCAAATACTTATTTCCCTCATTAAAATGCAAACAATTTATAACATTTTTGACATGCGTTTTTCTGGATTTTGTTACTGTTATTCTGTCTCTCACTGTTCAAATAAACCTACCATTAAAATAATAGACTGATCATTTCTTTGTCAGTGGGCAAACGTACAAAATGAGCAGGGGATCAAATACTTTTTTCCCCTCACTGTAGAAAAGGAATGCGTTCCAGCCTACGACAAGTGACTTTTGAACCATAACTTAAAATCCTGTTGTCACACCATTAATCAAAACATTTCCCGTTCACTAGTGCATCAACCCGAATGCTTGTACAGGTAAAGGCGCAGCCCTGTAGTTATTTGATCATGCCATTGTTGGTGAAAGGGCCTCCACTGAAGGAAGCTCGAGAAACCCCCTCCACTAAAATCATATTTTGGCCTCCTGGTCAGGTACCTTGGAAGCGGTGAGAGTACCTATACTTTACCCCACCACATGGGACCCATTTACACTCAGTGGATGGGAGCATATTAAACACATGTGGCCCTTTGTTTCAACCGCCTCTTAGGGATATTGAATAGGCGACGTCTCGATAATGATCCCGGCGTGTTAACCATTCACCATAGCAGCATTGGAATGCGTACGCGGTTAAACGTCTTAAATGCCAGTAGGTGGGTGCACTACATCCCTTGGGAAATCATTTTTTTGAACGGATGTTCTATTATGTCACATCCAAAGTTTGGCGAACTTAATGTGCTGATGTCTCCAACACCAGCAATGTCTCCAACACCAGCAATGTTGACATGTTTCAGTCATTCCATCGGGATATAAGACTGGTTCTTTTAAGTCAGTTTAACCTTAGTTTGGCAAATATGCAGCCCTGCATGTTTTTGTTCACGACCATCCCTGGCGGAAGGACTGTCATATAATATACCGCTTTAAATAACCAACGCAGGGTTACTTTGAATCTCTAACGAACCATCGCAAATGCTTCCAAATTCCAAACTTTGCCCTAACCATTGTTAACCTCCATATTTTACAATATACTGTACTATACTTACACGGAACATAAATGGGCACAAGCGGTGTCAACAAGCCACACAATGTTAAAATATGGCCAGAGTGAGTTAACACAGAAGTAGAATTGTCAGCTCTTTGCTATTACGGATGATAAAATAAACAAGATGTATTTCTGTCCGTGCGTCTCTATCACAAATGACACTTTGTTTAATCCAACTGCCTACAAGCTTCCCAGACAAATGCTTATCCTGCAGCATTTATGTAATAAAATTCTGGTTCGAATTCAATATTATGAAGCTCAGCAGCAGTACTCAGGCTAATTAAACAAACGCATCCTCACGATGGGGCCCTAGCAGCAACCAGTGGGATGATCCAGCTTGAAGATGGACATTACGCTGTCACTAAGAAGCTGTCAACCCAACAGTTACAAAAGTTATCCTTTGTACAACTCGTCTGACCACAGACGACAAAACCGGTCACGTGCCGTAAATTGCTTTCCTAAACAAAATACTGCGAGATATCGTTGATCCGATGCGCTAATATATATTTATTGGCAAGACGAATGGAGGTCTATTTATGTCACCGTATTTGTACGCCACAAAGGGCTATAAATGATTAACAATACATGAGAGCGCTCTTCCCCGCGACCCTATTACCTGAGACTGCTATCATCCACGCGAACTGTAAGGTCCGTGAACATTCCTGTTTTCTGTGCCACTTACCTTACGATGCCTCATTATTATCCACGGGGTTTTCGCGTCCTCCGTTGTGTAAACGGCTTCCTATTATCCACAATTGTTTTCTTCTTCTTCACGAATAAGAGGAGTCGACTGGCAAAATGCGTCTCGTTATCCGCGTGACCCAAGCGGATAATAGAATCCACACGAATTCAAACAACATTATCATTACAGATAGGCCCTTTCCAGTCCACAGATATATGCTATTGTAGGTCCATCAATTAGTCCAGGCATGTCACTTATCAATACCACCAAAGGTGATATCCCTTTTAATCAGGGTCAGATTAATGTTATTGTCGGAACTTCTGTTTCGTAGGACTTCCGTGATGACTTTCTGCAGTTCGTGCTGCTGCTGCCCATGTTACCCATACTGCCGTGGTCACTTCGTCCTGACGTTGGACAGATGTCGTTACCGATATGATCATTATTTAGTTTGTGCACTAATTCGATGGGAGTGCGCTGTGTGTGTGTGTGCCGCAGATACGCAGATTTAAATTGAAATGATTGTTAATTTTTTTTTACCAAGCCTAAAAAATATTGCAAGCGAAAATTTCTTCAACAATTTTTTGTGACTATGATTATCATATCGGATGACGCAGCTTTAAAAGGATGCTGTTGATGTTCATCGATAACAGATTCAAAGTTCTGACGCGACAACCGCATGGCGAGTTTCGTTTAAGCTTAAAGACTTATTAAATTGCAACAAGCAGCCATAAAAAAAAATCTATTTATTCAAGAAGACAACTTGGTTACATTTTTGAATCATACAAAGAGCAATTGCAAAATATTATTTCGCTGGCCCTTTAGTTTTCGTAGACCCTAGGCACAGTGCTTACTCTCCCTATTGGATAATACGGCCCTGCCTTTGATGGTTCCAATGTTGTTTTGTGGCCCACAACGGTGAATTATGTGATGACAATTTGAAATGAGTGGCCTATCAAACGATTCAACCTCATTTAGCCGTATCAATAAATCTCATACCTGTCAACCCCTTACCAGTGCCTACCGTATTACAGACCAATTCAGACCTTATTGGTCACTCCGTTCCCTTATAAATCTCAACGTTCATCCTACAAAGTTCCCATCACAAGGGGAGAAACACAACCACAGACAAAACACAACGGGTTTGTTTTGCCCGTATTGAAAGGCTGTACGCTGGAATGAATGGACCTTTAAAGAACTCAACTTCCCTACACCAGATGACGGCTAAACCCGTATTTGTTCGACAGGCGTGACATCGGCATGACTCAGAGCTTTTTACCCTCTCTGGCCACAGCAGCGATTTCTGCCACCACCACCACAGCACCACCACCACCACACCACCACAGCACCACCACCACCACACCACCACCAATCTGAACTCGGGTTCGTCCACCAACTTGCCAGTCACCTGGTTCCCGAAGACGCCCAGAGCGCAGGCCGTGGACACCTCCTGAGGTCCGAACCACACGGCGGCCACTCGCGAGGGCATGCCGATGATGAAGGCGTTGGAGATTGCGCACAGGGTCTGGGCCAGCACCGTGACCCCGAATCCCAGGCCATCCGGCCTCACGCTCGCCACCTTGAGCCAGGCGCCCAGGGCGTCGAATACCGTGGCCAGCAGCGCCGTGGTGCGCAGCCCGTGGTGGTCGAGCAGCCAGGTGATGGGGAAGATGAGCGGGATGTAGGCCAGCATGTAGACCATGGACAGCCAGTCCACGGCGCCAGAATCGACACCGTAGAAGCGCACGAAGATGTTGTTGATGATGCTGTACTCGATCCACTGGAAGGCGTTGGACAGCGAGTAGACGCTGAAGATCGTCACGATGACCCAGCGGCGACAGTAGAGCCTCGTCTTGTTGGCGTACGGCGGCGTGGAGCTGCTGCCGCCTGCAGCTGGCTCGGTGGCCGCTGACGCCGATGCTGCTGCTGCTGCCGCCACTGCTGCCCGTTCGGATTCCCACGCCACCTCCACCCCATCGTCGTCGTCGTGAGCTGCCGACCCCACGACTTGCCGCAGGACCTGGCCATGATGCACATCAGGACCTTCGCTACCCTGGTGATCACCCGCGGGCAGCTCGACCATCTGTGTGGCGGGGGTGGTGGCTGCCATGTGCTTCTTCTCAGCCACCACGTCCGTTGCGTTATCGTTCCCTTCCACACGATCGCCCGTCTCGCCGCCGCCGCCGGCAGCCACGCCTCGTTCACCTGCCTCCCCGCCCGGAGGTGGGATGAACTCGGTCTCGGTCATATCACCGTCGAGTGAGTTTCCAGGACTGCGAGCCGACAACAGAGCAACAAGAAGACGAGGCGAGGCAAACGAGCGAGGCTCGTTTCCCGGTCTATTGGGGTAGCTGCGTGCGAAGTCTCTGCCACTACGCCGGGCGTTAACAATGCCCCTGTCGCAACAGCACCACGCCTGCTTGTTCTCGATACGCGGTCCATCAGTGCGGCACTCGCCCCGACCTCCTCAGACAACACCTCGAGCTCACCTCCTCCATCTGCGCGATTTGCTCACGCGTCGTCAGCGTGCCAGCGCCGCGCGGCATTGCTTCTGTGACCACTTGATGGCCGGGCGAGACAATGTCTGGGCTCTCGATTTCCTGCTTTAAAGAGCACCTGGGTTGTTAGGCAGGCAGGCAGTGCGTGTGTGTGTGCGTGCGTTCAGACTATATTGTGTTGGTGCGTGTGTGTGTGTGCTTTTTATGCCAAGTGCCCCAGTGACTTAAAGCCATTTGCCTCGCAGCCACGAGGGGGCGAGCTGGAGGCTTTCAGATTTCCCCGCAGTCGACACGTGACTTGAGCTAAATGTGATTTATACTGGTAGGAACGAAGTTGTAAACTGAGTGTACCAGCCTGCAATAGATTAATGTGTCCGTCCGTCCCCTTTCAATACTTTAACGAAGTGAAATCTCGTGCTGTTGGGTGTAAAATCAGCAATAGACAGCGCAGACTTGATATGTCTTATTGCACCCAACATTTGGAAGTAACAATGTTATAAAATTGCGCAAAATGCCAATGTTCCTACCAGCCCACCCTGCAGGGACCTGTTTTTTTTTTTGGGGGGGGGGGGGGGGTTGTGCTCAGAAACGAAAGAGCAAAATTTGTTTGTTAGTACGTATGTAAATTTCACGCAAAAAATTAAGCCGCAACCTGTTTTTTTTATGTTTGTATTATTAGAACTAAATTGGACATGACGTAGCCCATCCTTCATTAGACCTACAATTAATAATAAAAACCAGAAGCTTCTTTGGAAGGCACAGTGGAATCATTTATTCACTTATGGCTTGCATGTCAAAGTGGATTAATCATCATTTTAATTAATATACGCTGCCTTAGAATCTTGGGAAAACAAATCCTGTGACCTGGCATATATTAATAAAACCGCGTATTTCGGAAAGCCCGTCAATACTCCTTATTTTTAACAGTCCTGCATTGGGATCTTTGGTCAATCTTGGGCAATTCTCGAGAAAGACGACAAGCAACAGCGATGTTGCAAAAGTATTGACTTTGTTTCGTACGCTCACAGCAACAGTATGGACACATTCATTTTGAATATCGCATTATGAATAATAATTACTGTAACAGAAGTATTGAAATATGTTTGTGGACTTGTTCTACGATTTAGTGTGCTGGAGTTTGTAACAGCAACGGCTGAACTACGTGTCAATTTACAAAGGTAGCAATGAGTGAACTGCGATGGTAACGTATGTATAGTGTGCGTGTCCTTTGGACAGGCACAGCCTATTAAAATTTTGGTTGTTAAAAGTTAGGTGTGCAACACTCATAATGACTTGTTAGGCTTCGGATACAGGAACACCTTGCACTTGCGTCTGGTTAGGAGGGATCAGAACATGGACGAATGTCAAAAATGGTCGAATGTCAAGCAGAGCCTTTACTTAGCTCGCAAATTTATTTTGACCGCCGAAAAACGTACATGCAAATAAATACATCTAAAAAGGTGCATGCAAATAACTACAGCAACTATATAACACATGCGTGCGTTATATAAGCACAGTATGAATACTGTGCACTTGTTTTATAATAACGAAAATAACTATGAACCACTGTAGTATTATACGGTTATCACAAAAAATAACTGAATTGTTTACAGTATAATCACAGAAATAAGTGCAGTATTAATATGTGAATAAACACAAATGTAAGAGGCGCTCACTGAACGACTTCCATTCAAAGACTGAACGAAAAAGACGGCGCGTGGCGCGAACGTCGTGGTAGGTTTGGGGGATGAAATCGGACGAAAGACGAAAGCGACGAAAGTCAAGTGGACCAAAGTCAAGGTATCGCCTTATGTGTTTAATTGATGTGCAGCACGCACATGCGATTAGCACGCTTGGCTACGTACGGTGCGAAAAAAGTTCAACATACATAGAAAGAAGTTCAACATACATACACACACGTTGGCTGACTTGCACGATCAAGTCATACGTGTCGACACGAAGGGCTTCGTTGTAACATGTAGGTTAGGTAATTAAATAAAACATGCCACATGAAATGAACACCGACTTGAGATTATCAAAAGGCGTATTTAGAATGTACATACATGGTCTTAAGACGAAAAAGACGGTCTAGATTGCATCACACGTAATTCCTACAATAATACACATACAATTGGAAATCGTAGCTTACAAAATACAAGGAGTTTGGGAGTGTTTAATAATGAAAAGTGGGCGCCTCCAGCATACGCTATCAGCTTTTCGTATCTTACCTTCTTTTGGAAGGTACGTGGCCAACTGCGTTAATCCTAACACCAAAAACACGTTGCTCTGGTGTTATATGCCTAATTCACGACTGTTTCTTGATGATGACACAAATCATAGTGAACACACAAGTTGACACAGGAAATAGTGAACAAGTTGGCGTATAGCACAGAGCAGTTTATGTTTATAGTGAAAAAACTGACAGCAGATACTGGAGGTAGCTCACACATTGCGTTATTTTGTATAAATATTCCCACTCATTGTTTTATCAGTGGTGATTTCAAGTTATTTGTGTATTATTTTAAGAAACACATGTAATGAAACCTAGAGCATCGTTTTATGAATACCCTGTTCATATAAATACATGCTAATGTGCACACGGGACAAATTTTGCTCATATTAAGTACCACTTTGCAGCCGTATTTATATGTCCTGTTATTTTCATGTCATCAGCAAATATAAGATGGTTAATATTTGTATCAAATTATATTTTTAGCTTTTTCTACAACCCAATTATTCCCCCCAAAAAATCTGAAGTCAATGCGAAATTACTTTGGCGAAAGCAACTCCTCGTGTGACTACTCTTTTGATGTGTACTTTGTTACTTCCTGTATCCTATCTCAGTGCAGCTATTAAATGCTTTGAAGACATTATTTATTTTATGCTTTGATTTGTCGCAGCCTGAAGGACTGTCAGTTTTAACCGAGTCAAATGCATTTTCATAGTCTACAAATCTGTCAGACGACACAATTGGATACTACACCAGAGGATGTACACTTAGAACAGTTGTTGAACTGTCAGGCTGTAGTGGTGCATGCTTATAATCCAGCCATGTATGTATGTATGTTGAACTTCTTTCGCACCGTATGTAGCCAACCGTGCTCATCGGAGCCATGAAGGCGAAGGTTTGTGGATCAAGGCGTCGTAACCTGGCTTGCCAGAAGGCAGTTCAGAAAACATGTGGACTCTGCATCTTCTGTCTGTACGGGATAGAGCGTTTCCCCCTCACGCGCGTGGGTGTTCTCTGGGTGCTCCGGTTTCCTCCCACATGTAAACACTCATTAATTGGTCGATAACAGCTTGGGCAATTGTATGGTGCAGGCTCATCGCGTGCCTGCCTTCTTGCTTGTCTGTGGATCCTCACACTTAAAAGAGTAAATGGATTGTTAAATCATGTTGCCTGCTAGGAAACATGGGCCTGGACATCACACATCATTGGAATGGATTTTGGCCAATAGCTTAGCTGTAACTACGAAGGGAAGGACCAAATATACATCCGCCACAGGGATGGTGCGATGAAATCAGCTCATGTGCAGGCACTAGGTGGCTTGTTATATTGCAGAACCATAACTATGCAGTGGATAAATGATAGGGGATGAAAATAAATGCATGTAACATGATTTGTGAAATGGTCCCGCTCACTGGTGGAGAAATAAGGACTCTGCAAGCGCATCATTGGCACTGAATACAGTATTACGTGAAAATGACGTGCAAAAAAAGCTTGCACATGGTCGTGCTGTAGTATTAACAGACATGTCAATCACATTGTGTAACCGTTACAGTTTGCACCAGTCTCATTCAAAGGAAATTCTGCTCTGCTAATTACTCACGTTAATTCTGGAGTAACCAACCCGATGGCCACGAAATAGCATGTAAATATATTGTGTACAAAACATCGCTCAATGTATTTGTAAGTTAATGTTTCAAACACACTAATGATATGCACAAGTAATGCAGCAATCGTTACTGAAGCCCAGTTTAACTGGGATGACCATGTTCTTCACATTGTCCGACTTCAGGCTTCCAAAACAACTTAATTGATATTCTCAACTAGCCAGTGGCCGAAGAAATGTCAGTGGTCACAGAAAGGAGGATAAACATACACAATGAGAGCACGCTCTAAGAAATAACAAAAGTTGGCTGCTGTTTTGCACAGTGTGTATTTTTTTGGGGAGGGGGGTGTTTTGTAATTAACAGAGCTTAATGTAACGCATAAGTTTTGGAAAAAGCCTCAGTGCATTGGCAGTGGTGACTTGTGCCACATGCTCCACCGATACACCCTTTACCCTCGCCACGTACTCGCAGGACACCACAATATTGCTGGGTTCATTTCTTGTCTGCAAAAGATGAAAGTGACAGTACAGTCGCAATGCGTCATTCATTCATCGTTTTATATAGCAGGTGAGAGCCACTCAATTTTTCCACAACACTCATTAAAATTAAAGCGCTTGCCATTTTCATTGTGAACGGAGGTGTTTTTGCTGATATACCTGTTTGACAGGCCCAAGGGCCGGGGAGTCCGTCTCCAGCACCAGGTACTCCAGAGGCAACTGCTTCACGAGTTTCTCCTTCTTGAGAGAAATAAAACTCACGTTAGCTCCAGATAGATGGGCAGCTCAATATATCGATTAATATTAAACAGCCCCTTGTCCCCTTGTCAATCCCCTGCCGGATGAAGGTCTGTCCACATCATGTCGGTCATGAGGGTTGTTTGACCATACTTTAGCTCAATGCGGAGCTCCAAATGGGCAATGTATTCAACAAAACATAATCATATAATAGGTTTCTGTCGCTTTATGGCATGAGCAACACATACTGGCCTGGGTTTGCAATAACAAATTAGATAATTATCTCAGCTTATTTTAATGAAATGTATGCGTAACTTTGCATTTACCAAAAATTATTTTTTTCTATGCTGTGGCCATTAGACTTCACTTACCGTACTGTGATATATGTGGTTTTTACAGTCTTATCCTGATTATAACTGTGATTCGACTCCATCACGTGGTGTATTTAAACCTAAAATATAATCACTGCTTCCTGAATGCATTTATGTAGCAAAACGTAAATGATAACATAGTGTTAACCTTTTGATTTAAAGCTTTTGTGACTGCAGTGATTCATATTCTTGGTTCTTTCGGTAAAGTCACGTTGAAGAAAAACAATAAAATATATAAAAAACAATAAAATTATCACCATGTTTCGACTGCAACACAAGCAGTCATCATCAGGTGTGAAAACCAACGGCAAGAACATTTGAAAGAAGTGGCGGATTGTATTGATTTATTTTTAAACGTTAGCACCACGGATAGCGATTTGACAGTTTGTTTAGATGGACGAGTCCATCTATGTTCGGAAAAGAGGAGGGGGGAGACGAAAAATTAATGTATGCTGTCTGAAAGCCACCGTCAGCATGAACAATCAATTAACACCCAAAATAGTTGATCAAATCCTTCCAATGATTGCTAAGCCAGAATCCATCTTCTCGGTTGAAATTGTCTCTGTTTTTGTATATGTGGATAGCCTCATGAACGAATCTCTCATGGTAGCCAGATGGCTTGCACCAAAGTTCCTGTACCTGACACCATCGAAATCATTGAAGACTTGGTTCATCAAGGACTAAACACTGAGGTACCCCCCCCCCGGTGAGACACTGCTTAACCAATACATACTTCACTTGGAATGGAACTTTCTACAAACTGAGGGCACCCCAATGGGCTCCCCCCTATCTCCGGTTATAGCCAACATTTTTATGGAGAAATTTGAGACTGACGCCATCCAGACTGCCACTCTGCGCCCAACTTTATGGAAGAGGTACGTGGATGACACTTTTGTTATCTGGCCACATGGCCGACCTGCTCTAGACCAATTCTTCGACCACATCAATTCCATACACCCAGCCATCAGATTTACCATGGAAGTTGAAAAAGATGGCAAGCTACCTTTTTTGGATGTCCTAATAAAAAAGAGACCTGATGGTTCAATGAGCCACTCTGTCTACAGAAAAGCTACCCATATGGATGCTTATCTGAAACCGGATTCCCACCACCATCCATCACAGAAGAATTCTCTCATCAAGACTCTGCACCATAGAGCCCAATGCATATCCGACCAGGAACACATAGCCAGTGAACTCAAGCACGTACACCAAGCTCTTAAGGCTAATGGTTACTCCGACTATACAATCCGCAAAGCTATCACTCAAACCATGAAGAAGGACCCTCTTGAGGAGCCTTTCAAAACCATCACTTTACCCTACATTGTGGGGATCACAAAAAAGATCTCCAAAATCTTGAATAAACACAAGATCCAGGTCCGTTTCAACACATTACATAAAATCCGTGATCTGGTTCCGTCTGTAAAAGATGTGATTCCAGACATACAATACCCTGGTGTTTACAAACTAAGTTGCCTATGTGGTAGTAGTTACATTGGAGAAACCAAACGACACGTCTCGGACCGCATTCGTGAACACAAAGCAGACCTTAAACACGGTAGGACCAACACCTCGGCCATGGCAGATCACTGTTATAATTCAGTAGGCTCACATGACATTGTCTTCTCCAAGACAGAGGTTCTTTGCAAGCCATCTGGCTACCATGAGGATTCGTTTATGAGGCTATCCACATATACAAACACAGAGACAATTTCAACCGAGAAGATGGATTCTGGCTTAGCAATCATTGGAAGGATTTGATAAACCATTTCGGATCTTAATTGATTGTTCACGCTTACGGTGGCTTTCAGACAGCATACATTAATTTTTCGTCTCCCCCTTCCTCTTTTCCGAACATAGATGGACTCGTCTATCTAAACAAACTGTCAAATCTCTATCCGTGGTTCTAACGTTTAAAAAGAAATTAAAAAATACAAACCGGCACTTCTTTCAAATGTTCTTGCCGTTGGTTTTCACACCTGATGATGACTGCTTGTGTTGCAGTCGAAACGTCGTGAGAATTTTATTGTTTTATATATATTTTATTTTATTGTTTCCCTTCAACGTGACTTTACCGAAAGAACCAAGAATATGTAGTGTTAACCTGTTTGTGAGTAGGATTTGGGGTTTTTTGGATGAAAAAATTTCTATTCCTCCTGTAAAATTTCCAAAAGACCATTATTCACGATACTAATTTGAATGAAAGGGTGAACTAGAATGAAATGTAATATCTTTATCAGAGGAACTCAATTGGTTACCTTTTCTTCTCACAATTATATCCTGCTTGCAGTTTAGACATTCCGTTAAACTTAGTACATTTGGAGCTCTCACAGTGAGCACATCCATCGCCTTATGTTACAGAAGAGTCTGCAGAAGGAGACATCAAATTGTTTCTGACAGCTCAAGCAACCCCCTTATTCACATCAGGGAGCAAAACCCTTCCCACCTGCTCTGTTACATGGCAATGAAACAAATATTTAAAATGTTCATAACTGCCAATTTAACAAAGTTCAGTGAAAACACAAATGTAAAACCAGATTTGTTTGTGTACAGGAATTAAACTATTGGAGTGTACCAGGTAAAGCCCACTGAGCTATTAGCTCGTTTTCCAAGATGACCTGGCCACACATGATAGCTCACCGATGTTGCTTACATCATCACACGCGGGAATGTATAGCAGTAGCCAAATTATCTAAATGCATGTTTCCAAATATGGAGGGCAAAACTGGAGGATCTATATTATATATAAAAGGAAAATTTGTGGATTTGTGTCTGTTCGAAATGTTTAGCATACTTCCCATCATGCTACAAACTTTAAATTTGGCATGTGGGTAACTCCCATACTGTACACAATGTAAGAAGTATAAAAATAGACTTTTGTATTTTGGGGGGGGGGGAGCGGAAATGACCATGAGGTGTGGCGTCAACCCGCATTCAGGACTAGCGAGAATCGATATCTGGTGATCATTTGTGGTATCGATTAAACGGGAATAGGCCGATTCTAAAGAAATCTACAACCTTCGATTCCTTGGCGTGCGAGAGTACGTTTTTTTTCCACCGCGCGTTGGGTTTTATTTTAATTAATCAGGTAATGATCTAATTTATCATTAAATTGCTTAAAAATATATATTTATATGAATTATAAAGAATAGGGTTATTGTGTGCAAACTGTATATGTAGCACATTAAACGTTTACCCCCCTAAGTAACATGGCTAAACGGTACAATGCCAATAGGTCTTTTATGTAAAAAAATACTACTATAGAGTCACTAGATACTACTATAGAGTCACTAGATACTACTATAGAGTCACTAGATACTACTCACTCTATTGTATGTAGGGTGTTTAGGTAAAAATTCCTACGTGGGGGTAAAAATATTTTTTGAGGGTCGACAATTTTCGGAAACCTTTTAGGTCAACTATTTACCCCCCACTTTCTATAACTTTTTGGACTTATCATTTTGTTGACGGACAAATGGACAGACAAACCGCCGGGCTTTCACAATAGCTTAGTATTTCTGTATGTATATGTTATGTTTTTAAGTTTTGAGAAGTGTTGAAATATATTTTTCCCCCGGGCAATGCCGGGTACTTCCCGCTAGTCTTTTTTCTATAAAAAAAATCCACATGACCACAGGAAAAGAATATGCAAACTCCAAATATACAGGCATCGTCAGGGTCAGGATCAAAGCCAAGACCCGCGTACCAGGCAAGGGATACAGTTGAGAAACTATTTTGATTGCCGGCAGCTGAAATCTGAATTCAAACCCAGTATCTCAGCAGTGCCAGCTCCGTGTCTGACCTCTGAGCCAGCTAACCGCCTGTTTGGAAAATCCTCTTCAACAAACCTGTTCACTGCGGACGATGGAAGGCGGAATGGAGAAGAAGTATCCAGCCTGAATGCCCTCCATTGCCACAGAAGGCCTCCCATCAAAGGCATGCAGCAACACATTCTGGGCTCCTGGATCATGTGAGCAAAGCACAGACAGTCACGGTGATTAACCGATACTTAACCACTCTATACAAGATTTCTGACCGGGGTACTCCGCAATAGAGCGGCTTGCGATCGAAAGGTTACGAGTCCAAATCCGGGTTGGGGATTGACACAGTCCACCATACCTCCAAGGTTGATAAAATGAGTGCCACTTCATGGGGAAGTAAACAGCTGATGTTCTATGGGTAGACTCGATCTCATCATAGGAATGTGGAATTTCCCCCATTGGCTAAGGACTTTAAACAGGAGATGAAAACTGTCTCAATGCTCATTTCAGCAAGAAATAATTGTGACCTGTACAATAATTAACAGGCATTTAATCATATGAAAATAACATAGGCAATGCCAAAACAAGTTACTGATGACTAATGCAATAAAGTAATATACCAAAGGGGCCAAGTTACATTTGGAACGTTCTCTCAATGTAAGGATACTCAACTGGGCAGTTATTTTTGAAGTAATTTGAACATTCTTTTAAAAAGTGTGTTATCTATAAGTTTATTCTTTGTAAAAATGTGTTCAACATATATGCTATCTCAATTTTAATGTCACTTGTTATTTCCGAACCTTGCTCTTTGAGAAGTTGAATAGTTGGTCTACCAGCGGACCTCGAGTGCACATTTCTGCAGAACAAACACCACCATGCAAGATCCTACATCAGTTGACTCAAACCAAGCAAGCACATTGCATTCTCCAGCTCAAATCTAGAATTATCCAGCTCATTGGGTGCTGACGCAACTCTGATGGTGCATTGCCTTTGAGTTGTACGCCTTTTGGCGTCTTCTGGTCCAACACCATGTGAGACGAGGCTCTAAAGAAAGCTGTCTCGGGTGTGGACCAATCAATTTCAAGGACAGTGCATACATTATCAGAGTTGTTTTTTGTTTGTGTTCCGACCGCAGGTATTGTGGTCAATGTCAACATGACTCCTTGTTAAAAAAAGGTGTCAGTTTTGTTGCCAGATAAAAGGGTAAAAAAACAATTATCAATGTGCATTTAAGTCAAATCTAGCATTTTTTTTGGAACAAGGGCACTATGCAGACTCTGGAGCGATTCCAGGTGTGCATTAAGGATCCTGTATCAATCTACTATATTTAATAGCCGGCCAATTGTCTAGTGACATGATTCCACATATATAAGGATCCTGAATTAATTTTCGAAGTGTGATATCCAGTAATACCCCAATCTACGCCCTCCCGTTTTACGTACTTTTGTTATAACGTACTCAACTGATTGATTCCCAATCCGTTTTTACGTACTGTGGTCCCTCGGCATAATGTACTCGAGATTTACGAACTTTACCATGAACACTCAAATGGTTTACGCTGCACAGTGACATTCATCCACCAGATGGCTCCCAAGCGCAGTCAATTTCATGTATACACGTACTCTCTTAAGTTTTCACACACACTACATTTATGGCGACTATGTACATATGTGTAAAAATGTGTATCTGATAAACTAATAATACATATAGTATAACAGACAAGGTAATATATCTTAATATATGAATAATGTACACTTATTTTTCACACTGATGGTTGTACAGTACAGGCAGTCCAAGATTTATGAACGTCCGCCTTACAAACACCCGTGCTTACGAACCAGCTTCCATGAAATACAAACAAAAAATACTTAAAACGTGTACTGCCAATTGCAAACTGAACTGTTTTAGGAGGAGCGATCCTCCGCGAGATGTAACGAGTCGGCCTTGCGCTGGGAGTGTTTGTGTGCACGCGTGGACAAAGGCGGTCAGGCGGTGGTGCTGCCCATCCATCCCCTCGTGTACCGTTCCGGCCTTCACCGGTGCTCGCTAACAGCACTTGCCCCAACAGTCTGTTAAGGCTACACAGGGGATCTTTGTCTTTGTGTGGGGAGCGCGCTTCGCTGCAAAAGCGGTGACCCGAGTTCGATTCTTGCTCACGGACAACACCAGTGCCTGGTGTGGTGTGTAAACATCACCACCGGGGACACAAAGGCGGCCGGGCGTGGTGGTGGCCACCCACCCCCTCGTGTGCTGTACCAGCCTTCATAAGTGTCACTCACAGCACTTGCCCCCTTAGTCTGTCAAGGCTACACGGGGGGTGTCGTTGTTGTTGTTGGTCGTCTGTGTGCGTGTGTGCACTTGTGGTGACTCATGGCACCACTCCCGACTACAAGCTCGCAGTAGGACTGCGTTCTTTTTTTCTATGTTACTTTATTTTGTTTTATTTACTATACAGTATTTTTTTTTTAGTGTTACATGTCCAATATGTCGTCTCAATTATGAGTTTGACAATGCTTCCCTTTTCGGTGACCCATATCGTAGACATCGAAGTGGACTCTCCGAAACTCGTTTGGCAACCTAGCGCACCCTAAAGGAGTTGGCAACACTTGGCCGCATTCGATGTGGGCCATGTCTGGCTTGGCGAGAGAGGAGAGGCTTTTGTCGGTCGTTGCCAAGACACTTACAGGGGCAGGTCGAGCCGTAGGGCGAGCGCCACCTGGCGAGAGAGCACCTCCCTCTGGCCCTGCTTGTCCTGCTCCGTCTTGGCCACACGAGGGCTGAAGTCCAGCCCCACCTGCAAGCAACGCAAGAGCACCCTCTGGCGGTTCACGTACAACTCGACCAACGTGTACATGTATCAAAGTTGAGGCTTCTTAAAAAGGCTCAACGAAGTTAATGGAAGCAGGGCAGCAGAAAGGGAGGGGGGGGGGGGCAAGGTTGGGGGGGGGGGGTTAAAGGGCAAACTAGATTAGAAGCTTTCGTGACTGCAGGAATTATTACTCTTTGGTTCTTTCGGTAAAGTCACGGAGAAAATCAAATCAAATAATAATAGAATACGACGTTTGGGTTGCAACACAAACAACCATCATCAGGTAAGAATGATTAAAACACAGACACAGGAACAGCATAGGCAGACACACATGCAGAGAGACACACACAATGTGTGTCTGCCTATGCTGTTCCCGTGTCTGTGTTTAATCATTCATGCTTACCTGATGATGGTTGCTTCTGTTGCAACCGAAACGTCGTATTCTATTGTTATATTATTTTCTACGTGACTTTACCGAAAGAACCAAAGAGGGTAGGGGGCAGTTTTCCCTTGACCTCAGATTTGAGGGGATCCCAAAAAATGGCCGAGGGGGGGGGCTTCAGAAAGAGCCCAAAGAACTTCACACGGGAGACCTCATCTGTCATTTTTCCCCGGGGTCCCAAAACACGTTTTGGTGGCCTTGCATGGAAGATAACATTTGCTGTTAATAATATCCACTCATAGTCGCTGGCTGTTTTCCCAGTTTTGTATAATTGACGTTGGAATTTCTGACTTTGAGAAATGCTCTTAAAAGTTACTCTTCCTTTGCGACGTTTCGCCTCCAACAGTGGAGGCATCTTCAGGAAGTACTGCTTGTCAGAGCATTTCTCATAGATCGATCCATGAAAACCAACATCAATGAATGAATGATATTGTTCTGCGGATGAGACATACTTGATTGTGCTTCAACTACTTTGTTTGAAATACGAACATTTAAATGCCAGTACTGTGGTGACACACCCACAGTCGTTGTAAGAAAATCCCCCAAAACGCAATGCATACAAGTATTCACAAACGCACAAGAATAAGTAAATACATTCAAACACTTAACCACTATGCTATAGATATGACAATCACTGCAGTGTGTTGTCATGGTACTGTTAGACTGGAATATGCTTAAATACACTTTTGTGGATGTGTAAACCGTATGCGCAGGAGTTCCCTATCCACGGTATCGCACTCGATTATTGGTGCAAATAAATTTCAGTGATAACACCCATGACGAAGGTTAGACATGTCACAGTAGCTTGACCTTTGAGACATTCCATCGTCTCTGTCATAAGCTTTCACTGCTAGAGCTGCAATAAAAGGTGGCAATGTGCAGTTGCATACGTCAATGCAAAGGGTGTGCAAACGATGCTATATATTTTATTGTTTTTAAATATCAGCGTGGTTGGTTTACAACTCAAATGTGTCATGGGAAGATGTGTAACGTTGGCAAGACTGTTTTTTAAAGTAGGTCTTTGCCAGGGAGGCTTTTCATTGCTTCCAAGCATGTTTTCATTATTATAAGAGGAAAACTTTCATATTACTATTGTTAGAAAAACTAAGACCCGTTTTGGTGGCCTTTGTAGCCTTTTAGAAATTAAACTGTAATTTCACAACTTTTCCTTCATTCATGGCCTTTAAAGTTTAAAACCAGATAAGAGTCTATTCCAATCAATCACCTCTTAATCAAGGAAAACCTTGCTCAAAAACAAGTACCACTATGTCCATGTCACATGTGATAAAAGGTCAATGGTATAATTGTACAAAAGTAAAAAAATGCCCATGGGAACATTAAGCATAACACAAATATATTAACCTTTAAATATAATTTAGCATTTCAGAAAGATATGTTTTTAATTAGGTATATGGTATAGTTAAAATATTTTTTTTAATGTAAAAGATATACAATGTTATTCCATGTACAAGTGGCATTATGGAAGCAAGAGGAGTGTCCAAACTTCATATGAACACGTGGGACATAACCGAGGGATTTTGAGGAGCCTCTTAGATTGCAAAGGTGTCCATGACCAATTAATAATGTAGATGAGTTGGAGATAATTTCTTAGTAAACTACAGATAGTCCCCGAGTTACGATGGTCCGACTTACGATATTTCGATCTTACGATGGCGATACGACAAAATTGTAACATTTTAAATTTCGCGCGGCAGGCAAACGCAGCAGCGTACGAGGTACGATACTGTACGTTGGGATGTCATTTTAGGGTTACCACGATACGATACGTTCAATGCATGTTCAAAGTTTTTCTAGCAGATAGGATTTTCCTGAAAAAACTTTCTATTAAATTGCAGTTTAACAAGTAAGGCTTTCGCGGCCAATATTATTCATAATAAAGGTGTTTGGGTTAGATCGCGTTATTTATAAATGTGTCGTAACCCTCCACCACCCGACACGGCCAATTAGCAAAAAAGTGTCACGTTGACAAAAGACAAATAGTTCACTACTTTAGCCCACCGGTGTGTTGAAGAGTGAATCCACAACATTTACAGTTTGAGTACGACGTTTCGCTGGTAATTACATCCAGCATCATCGGGCAATTCGCCAGAATGGTAAAGCCCTCACTTGCTCCCGGTCTTAAATATAGCAGCAGGGTGACGCCATCATTTAACACATTCAGGTGCAGTGATTTGAGGCGGAGGGGGGGGGTATTGTAATTATATAATCGATTGGTAATCAGTCAATGGTTATGATTAGTAATGAGTTGTAGATTAGTAATTAGTTGTAATGTGTGTTATTGTGAGTATATGCTACGTTAGTAATCCGTTAATTAGTATGTGTTTCCCCTATAAGGAATTGTAATATGTATTATTTAATCATACGCTTCCAAGCCGCACTAAGCTTGTAGCTGTCAGAGCGATTAAAGTTATTTCTATTTCTCTCAATTTCAATGGATTCTCAAATTAGTCTTTGCCAGTAATAAGTAGTTTTACACAACACTTCAACGTTATCAAAATCAATTGAGTGTCCTTGTTGACAAGCATGTTCTGCCACTGCCGACAGTTGTGTTTGAGATAATTTAATATTTATTTGGTGTTCTTTTAGTCTTATGCTGATGTTATGTCCCGTCTGTCCAATATAGCATCTGCCACATAAACAATTAATCCGATATACACTTTCTGTTGATAATTTAGGTAATTCATCTTTCGTGCAATATACTAGTTTTTGAATTTTGTGTACTGTACTAAATCTTACTGTAATGTTTTGCTTTTGCAAAACACAGACTAATTTGTCAGTTACTCCTGAGATATATGGAATTTTAATTGTTTTAACAATCTGATCGCTTTCAGCAGTGTTGCTTTGCGATCGTGATTTGGCATTCAGTGCTCTGTTAATTTGAGTATTATTGCAGCCATTCGGTCGTAATGCTTCTTTAACGTGTTTGATATCTCTCACTAGACTTTAACCATCTGACACTGTTTTTGCCCGATGTATGAGCATCTTGATAAGAGAGGATTTCTGAGCTGGATGATGATGCGAATGTGCATTCAGATAAGCATCAGTGTGCGTTTGCTTTCTGTAAACGCTGTGTGTTATTTGACCGTTTAGGCAATGTTCAAGCAAAATATCTAGGAATGGGAGTGTGCTATTCACCTCCATTTCCATGGTGAACTGCATGGCCAGGTTTTGTGCATTGAGATGATTTAGAAAATCATTAAGTGTATCTTTACCATGTGGCCAGACAACCAAAGTGTCATCCACATATCTAAACCAAAAAGATGGTTTTAATGTGCTCGAAGCAAGTGCTCTTATTTCAAAGTTTTCCATGTACAGATTTGCTATAGCAGGAGATATATGGAATTAAAATTCCATATATCTCAGGAGTAACTGAAAAATTAGTCCGTGTTTTGCAAAAGCAAAACATTACAGTAAGATTTGGTACAGTACACAAAATTCTAAAACTAGTATATTGCACTAAAGATGAATGACCTAAATTATCAACAGAAGGTGTATATCGGATTAATTGTTTATGTGGCAGATGCTATATTGGACAGACGGGACATAACATCAGCATAAGACTAAAAGAACACCAAATAAATATTAAATTATCTCAAACACAACTGTCGGCAGTGGCAGAACATGCTTGTCAACAAGGACACTCAATTGATTTTGATAACGTTGAAGTGTTATGTAAAACGAATTATTACTAGCAAAGACTAATTAGAGAATCCATTGAAATTGAGAGAAGTAGAAATAACTTTAATCGCTCTGACAGCTACAGGCTTAGTGCGGCTTGGAAGCGTATTATTAAATAATACATATTACAATTCCTTATAGGGGAAACACATTTTAATTAACGGATTACTAACGTAGCATATAATCACAATAGCACACATTACAACGAATTAATAATCTAATCTACAACTCATTACTAATCATAACCATTGACTGATTACCAATCGATTATATAATTACAATACCCCCCCCCTCCGCCTCAAATCACTGCACCTGAAATGAGTTAAATGATGACGTCACCCTGCTGCTCCATTTAAGACCGGGAGCAAGTGGAGAGGGCTTTACCATTCTGGCGAATTGCCCGATGATGCTGGATGTAATTACCAGCGAAACGTCGTACTCAAAATGTAAATGTTGTGGATTCACTCTTCTACACACCGGTGGGCTAAAGTAGTGAACTATTTGTCTTTTGTCAACGTGACACTTTTTTGCTGATTGGCCGTGTCGGGTGGTGGAGAGTTACGACACATTTATAAATAACGCGATCTAACCCAAACACCTTTATTATTAAATTGCAGTTCACATAGGTAGGCTAAGAATTTAACTTGTTTTTTTACTTTACATTTTACTGTGCAATACAGTATTGTAAATTGCTCTGTTTTGCTAAATTATCACCATTTTTTAAGACTCCTGGGTAGGCTAGGCCATCTTCGACTTACGATATTTTTGACTGACGATGGGGTCGTTGTAACGCATCTCCATCGTAAGTCGAGCACTACGCAGAAAACTCAATTCCAGTACAGAACTCTCTGAGTAATAGCACAACGCACATAATTTACCAAACACGTCAATCATCTATTAGATAACTGAGGGAAGCAGTTGTGCAAGTAGTGGAGTGACTCGAGTTCGATTCCTGGCCACAGCTAACATCGGTGGCAAGCTGGATCTGAACTGGTCCTGGGCTCCCCTTCACCAAATTGTACTGACCAGTGTGGTAAAGTCTTCCCGAAACAACTCCAACGATTGGCATCCACGATTGGCATCCAGCAGTGGATTGACAAAGGGCTGTACATTTTATTTCGTGGGAAGTGGTGAGCTTGGAAGTACGTATCAATAACCAATAGATATAGGTATCTCCATTATTTCCTATCCAGAAAGAAAATAAGGCAAATCATAATTATACATTAACCATAATACATCTAAACACCAACGTGATGTGTTCGATACGTCCCAAAACAGTCATGTCACACACTGCTGTTTAATGGTCTTCAATACGGACAGCTTCATAAACTGTCGTGTAATAAAATACAAACTACAGCATTCTAAATTTAGCCACCCTATCGCGATAAGTGTAGCCTTGCCTAATGATGTATATTCCTCTATAATCCTTACCCATTACCTTTGATGACGTGACAAGCCCTGACGCCTACTTAAAGGCCTACTCTAACTTTCAAAAGTGCAGGACGCAATAAAAGACACAACTTGTGCATTACCAGCTCTTAGCATCGTTTTCACATATTTGTTTTGGCTATGCTCGGCTTGCTGCACTACCCACACGTTATTTTGAAATGTATGCAATTCAAGGTAGCCTTTTACAGAATCAAATCTCCATTAACTTTTTTTTCCTCCATTTTATGTGCATAATTATCTGGACAAACCTCTTAGGACTACGTTTTTAGAAGCCATTAGATTACGTAAAATGACAACGGTCATTTGTAATGTGGTCAGCCTTGTATTCTAACCTATTTAGTTACAATACAGATCTGCTAAGATGAATTAAATGTACATTACCAGGAAAGTCTGCATATGTAATTCCGGCATTATCAATCCTATTGTTGTACTTTTTAAATTCACGAACGCAACTTATTCACATCGGGAAAAGTGTACATTGCTGTACTTTCACTCCCTCATAATGGTGTCGAACAAAAAATTTGGCACGTTTCAAAACGTATTCACATCGCAGGTGTTACCGTAAACTATTCCCCGCACACTGAAGCACCACACGAAATGTGTGATCACTGAACAACGCGTCGTGTTTCCATTGACAGTTACACGAGCCCAATTCACGTGAGAGTCTTGCCACCGAGGAACGATTCTTAAAAAGCATAATTTGTCATAAAAAAATAAAAAAGGTACAGACCCACCTCTCCCACAGCCATCAAGCGCTCACACTGCTGCTCTATCACTGGCTCGGCAGACATCAGGTCCTAGCGGAGAAACAGAACAGTCATCTCATCATAACCTCAAGCATCGCGGGCATCGCATTCTGACTGTTCACACCTGCATTAACCATTATTGTAGGTTTCGCAGGTGTATGTTTTCACAGCTCCTTGTAATCCAAGTGTGTGTACATACGTATGTTGAATGTCTTTTGCACCCTACGTAGCCAACCGTGATAATCGAAGGTATGGGGGAAGGGCAATAAACTGAATACAAAAAAGCATTTCTAAAGAAATACGTTTTTAATCTAGAGTGTGGTTCTCCACGGGTCAGGCCTGCGGTTTGAGAAATTATTCTCTCGAGTTTTCATCACGCACTGCTGTGGACATCGCCCTCTGTCACTCCAATGCTGGATGAAGGCCTTTCAGGAGATGCCCTCAGATGTGCGTGGTGAAAGCTCAAGAGAAGAAATGCTTAACACGCAGCCCAACCTGGGAAACTACACTAAATGATTGCAGTATTTGTGGAGTCTGCACCAGCGCTTTTAAGGCTTCTTCATTGTTGGCAATGGTGATAGGTGGTAAGCAGAGTCAGAATAAAACTCCAGCAAGCCTAAACTATGGCTCGATCAACTAGTGTCTACAAATGCCCATAGCCTGTAGCCTATTGGCCCAAGGAATGCGGTAAAGTTAGCAGGCACGTGCGAAAGGGCCCATAAAATGTGCATAGACATCCGGTAAAATATATTCTTTATCTGGGAATGTTGCCGATTAAACTATAGGCTAGCTAAATATAAATATGAAATCACTGTCTATCAGTTTTATACTTTCTCCCTGAAGGAAGCCCTCTGCCACAATACCATGAACAAACCTGCTTGTGAAATACACTAACATGATTTCCAGACAGTTTATTTAGATTGTGTGCTCGGCTGTATCACGTGATAGTCAAACGAGTTATTTCCTCCTCGGTACTCATCTGTTTACAGCCGAGCTAGTGATTAGAAATTCCACATTCCTATGAAGGAGACGTATTTCTCGCATCACATGACATTAAGTCACAAAAATACAAATGTAATAATAGGGTTTTTCCCCTTTTTTTCTGGCAAAACTGAAACCTTTTTTTACAAGGATTAATGTCTGCATTAACCACAATACCTGCAGTAAAAATGCAAACAAAAAATACTATGGTAATATATGCATTGTCCTTGAAACTGATTGGTCCACACCAAGGGACGGCTTTCTTTTGAGCCTCGACCCAATTGGTGCTCGACCAGATGACGCCAAAAGGCGTCACACAGCTCAAAGACAATGCACTATCAAAGTAATGAGGGCTCGGGGTGAGCATCTACATCATTAGACCTCCTTTGCCAGTACCAAAATATAATAGGGGTTTTCCCCTAATAATAGGGTTTTTTCCCTTCATATATTATCATAGTATGTTTTTGTTTGCATTTTGACTGCAGGTATTGTGGTTAATGCAGACATGAATCCTTGTAATAAGGTTTCAGTTTTGTTGCCAGAAAAAATGGGAAAAACCCTATTATATTTTGGTACTGGCAAAGGAGGTCTAATGAAGTACAAATGTAGTTTTAACTTTTAAAGTTTGTAGAGTTACCGGATTTCAACAAGCTATAAAAATAGAGTGATGCACATCAATGAAACTTTTAAAAAATAAGACAACTTTAAAGGGAAGAAGGACTGCATGGGTATGTTGAATTACAGTGCAACAGGCAGCAATGTAACAGTTTGTCAGTGGCTGCGTTTTCCAGTGACGCAAATGTACAAAGGGATTTTTAACCGCCCTTCGTCAATCCACTGCTGGATTAAGGGATCCCCACGTCTTTCGGTCATGAGGGCTGCTTGCCCACACTTCACCATGCTTGTCAATGCAAAGTTAGTGTATAGGGGACTCGCTACCGGTTTAGATATCACTCAGTAGCTGATGTTAGTGGTGGACTGGATTCGAACTCAGGTCACCAAATTAAAATTTCCACTTTGATAAGCCACTTCGTCGAGTTATAATTTGTGGCCAGGTCGCTTCTGAAGCTCAGTGGGCCTTACCTGGTAAAAACTAAAAGTTAAGTTTAGTATTTATAGCGAAGCTCGCTATAACCACTGCTCTCCCCACCCGGTACAAAGGTTAACGTCCGTTAATGTGAGCAGGGTGTGGCTGTGGACTGCGGGACCCCTGTGGGTACCTCCAGGGTGGCGCTGCGTGGTTGGCAGGGAGATCCCTGCACCGGGTGAACGCCCAGGCAGGGCAACACAAAACCAGGGAACCTGCAGCACACCACAAACCACGGCCATTATGGTATTTCCCTCTTGGTAATACCAACAAGCCCGAGCCTGCCGATGAGACCCAGAAGGTCGAAACCGCTCCAGAGTTTGCTTGCTTACACAAATGCTGCTTGATAAGATTGGTCTGGAAAGCCAAAAGGCCGGTGGACTAAAGCATATTTTTTTATTATATGTGGAGACAAACAAAAGGGTCTCCACTTGATTATATTGTCATGTACACGTGCAAGTCTTTTTGTGGATGCGCTGTGGATGATGGGCCTCTCCATGCTGTTCAGGTTGATTGACCATACATCACCATGCTGGTCGGTGAAGGCGAGGCGTGCGCATACGTGGGAGCATAGTACAGTACAACATTAGATTACGCTCCACTGTCTTGTGGTACCCGCAACGTTGCCTCACAGCCTTTTATACCTGCTGTATGCATGGTGGTCAGCCATTCAATCATTAAGGTTCAAACCAACTTGGATTCTGAGATCGGGCAATGCATGAACATTTCTTATTCCTCTTTAAAGCGTTCCCTACCAGAGTATATCTTGTAACACAGCATGTCATATAACGTGCGTTCAATGACGGTCAGATTTGTCACTCATACTCGCTCTATATGGCGACTGCTTGTTGCGTTCATGATTTTAACAGTGCTCGACTTTGGTACATCACGTAAATGATGTATCACTGTTACTGTTGCTACCAACGGAGAAAGTTGTTTGCTAGCCACACTGCACAGCGTCAAATTATTGAAATGATTCAGTGCTAACGTACATGGGCTGCAGCCAGGCCTGTCGCAATGGGGTGTGACGATGTGCTTCTGCGCAACGTGTTTGTGACCTTTTGGCATTCAAAATTGCAACGTGATTTTTTACTGGCAATACAAAATTATTTTTTTACCGTGAAAACTGTATAATACAACATGATATAAGTTGGGTGACGTAATTAAGTGTGAGCAGTATACTTTATCAATAGCTTGGGGAGGCCTTCATCGAGCAGTAGACTGATCATGGCTGATAATTACATTATTAATTTTATTTAAATCAGACACCACCAAATGCCCACCACAAAATATAACAACATACTACTATTCTTATTGTTTAATCAATTTGATACTGCCAAAAAGGTCCCATAGATACCACACTACCATTTAGCCAGACACGTTAAACCAACAACGCATATATATTTGAGATGCCGATTACATGATAGTCTGTAAGAAAAAAAGCCATCACATGCACAGACACACAGACACACTCGTATATTTTTTTTGGTCTCTCTCGATTGCACCACGTACCGTTCGGACAACTCCAAGATCCTTGCAAACTCTCCATGGTGCTCCGCAACAGACACAAGTGCCACCAGCCCTGCCTGGACCACCCCGGTGTCAATACGAGATTTTGTCACATGGCAGAACATCCAGAACATGGGAGTTCTGATCCCAAGAAGAGAACTTCCTTCAGCTTTAATAGTCATGTACACGGCAAACTGAATACAGCGGTAATGGCTGGTGGACTTTTAATAATTAAGGGATGTTTGCGCTTGTAACTTGTAACTGGACGTGTAATGTATTGTTTGGCAAGCCCATTTCTCCACATTCCCGGCATACAAGCATTATCAGTCAAGCGATGTTTACACAGATTCCTAGCAACGTAGAGCTCGCTGCAAAACGCGACATTCCAGGAATCGTTAGGGATTGTATCTTGACATTTCAGGATTGCTTTTTCATCCCGCAGACACAAGCGGTCTTTTGATCTATGTTTTCTTACTTGGGGTTATGTCTCGTAAGGGATATGGATTTAATGATGCATGCTCACTCAACCTACCTTCTTTGCTTTCTCGATTACTTCTGCTATGTCCTGTTTCACCAAACACACGCAGTTGCCAAAAGCACAGATAATAAATTACATTAATAACGCGCAATTAATCCGCACAATAGAGCCAATTACATTCCCGGGCAAAACAAACAAAATTAATAAAAAAATTACGGTATGACTCGTAACCAAGGAAACCTGCAGCCATTCTCGATCCACCAAGCCATTTCAGTCATGGCAAGATGCGTTTTTTTTCTTCTTTGGTTCTTTCGGTAAAGTCACGTAGAATGAGAATAAAATAATACATTGATAATTCAACGCACAACGCTGTCCTCCAGACAGTCTCGTCCCTTCACCTGATGAAGGCCGCTTGTGTTGTGGCCGAAACGTCGTGAGAATTTGATTGTGTTATTTTATTTTATTAATTTATTATTTCATTCTCATTCTACGTGGTGACTTTACCGAAAGAACCAAAGAAGATGAATCCTTGCAGTCACGAAAGCTTTAAATCGACAATTGTGTTTTTTTTTAATTTACCGTATACACCACGCTGGAAGATGCTCTACTTATTCTAGATTTGAAGCTTTCGTGACTGCAAGGAACCATACTCTTTGGTCCTATTTTTTTACCTACGTGACGTTACCGAATAGAAGCAAAGAGTATGTTCCACTGATATTCCACAAGGTGGCGTCCACAACCAAAAACGGCACCAAAATCCCAACCCCGTCCCCACCCCCAAAAACCCTTGAGTGACTGCCTCCACCGAAGGCCACTCAACAAATCGTGTGGTCTTCTTACAAGCACAATTTTCAACGTCAATTCAATGCACAATTCAATGTCCAAGACAGTCCCGCCGCATCTCGCTCCCAACGCAACATCGTGCTCGTTTCACACCAGAATTGCCCGTGCTGATGCGTGTTTGTGCACACTGTGCCTGGGGTTTACACTCAGTCGGGGAGAGAAAGAATTAATATTTAAATCCAAGGTGTATTTACTCGTATGGTGAGGAACTAAGCACTTTTTTACAGATATTTTTTTTCCGATTATAGCCGTATGTAATTAAATGGAATCCATCATACGTAATTTGTAACTTACTGTATTTACAAAGTACAGTATTGTAAATGTGTTCATTGCTTCCAGATGCATTTTTTTTTCCAAAATCGTATGACGGCCTTGGACATTTTATCTGTCTGATGGATTTTACACATTTTATACAAAAAAATACGATTAATTCCAATAAGTGAATTGAAACCCTGGTAATGAATTCCGTTTATGCTATGCTATTTTTATTTTACCACGTAAGGCCCCCTGCCGTGGCCAGAAATGATAGCTCAACGAAGTGGCTTATCACGTGGAAATTTATAGCAGCCAGATACTCTAAACGTACGTTTCTAAATGTGGAGGGAAAAACCGGAGGACCCGGAGAAATATCCACGCGACGACGGGGAGAACGTGCAAACTCCAAATATACAGCAGGCGTCAGGATCGGGATTGAATCCACAACCTCCAACATACCGGGCACGGGAGTCAACATCTCACCACCGTGGCGCTACACATGACCGCTTCCATTCAATTAGAGCCAATTCTAATCAGGAAATGTATTCTAAAACAAATTATCGTATATTACGCCAGTGGTATCTGTTAAAGAGAAACAATTCTACACTGGATACCGAAACATTACTCAACCCGTAGGATTTGTTTTATTCAACTAAGCTTCACCAACTGCACTAAACCAGAAAAGTGAAGTATGGTCCAACAACACTCAAAGACTCACAGTGTGCTGACATGCCTTCACCCAGCAGTGGATTAACAAAGGGCTGTAAAATATTATTTTGAAGAAATGACAATGGACAGAAAACAGAACGTATCATACATTACCTTTAAAACATGGTGCATTGTATACTCTTGTGACACAATCATCGATGTAGCGCAGGGGTGATTCAGATTCGTAATTTGTTTTTAATTCTATATAAAAAAAACCCCGCAATATTACAAGAGCCGCAATGCACATGAATACGAGACGGTGGTCCTTAATAAATAAGGTCACGAAGCAGTCCTCAAAGAGGCGCATGCTGCTCCAGGGCCGTAAGCTGCCGGCCGCTCTGTAGCAAATTTGTTGGGGCGGCTTGCAACCGGCATCGAATGGGTGGTGGGTGGACAATGTTGTATTACTCGGCAGAGCCATTTCTCCATTTGCTTATGGGAAACCCGCCGCTTCCCGTTGTTGCCTCGTGCGTTTTGTGGGTAGAGTCCCACCCAGCACTGAGCTCCGTGCCACTCGGGGAGGGGACCGCATGCGCTTGTGGCGCAACAGCAGCGTGATCATCCATGATGCAGACGTGCGGGTCGGAGTGTGACCCCAGATAACCGGCGCTCCCCTCCTTGAAGTTTCGTAAACATCCACCTCCTCTTTCCACTTCATAAAAAGTAACCGGGCAATTTAGCAATTGAGTGACGTGGAAGCATATTTATATTTTATCTTTTGCGACAAACCATGTGGATCGTGCGGAACTTAAAATAATGTATTCTCATGGATCAGCCGTCACGAGCGAACCTACTTGCTCGGCTGTATTTTGTGTCACTTTCGAATGAAAATGGTGTGCGTTCACAGGCCTCTTCAAATGCAGTGCATTGATGAAATGGTAAAATTTTCAGACAATCTTTGCTTGAAGACAATAAATTATGGAAGTATTCCTATGACAAATCGAAACATTGACAGCCAGTTCGCTTTCAGGACGATGGTCACTGTTAAGGACACTGCCACTAACTCAGTGCTGGTCTAATTGAATGCTTCTCACGCCTATTTGTACTCTGACTCTAACTTGTAGATCTCTCATTTGACAGTATGCTATCTATACTCTCTCATTCCAGTCGTGATTGGCTCTCATTTCGATTACTGTGCCGCTGTCGCTTCTAAAAAAGAGCAACTCTGCAACAAGTGTGTATACAGTTAGACTTTCCGAACAAGTGTGTATACAGTTAGACTTTCCGAACAAGTGTGTATAAGCTAGATTTTCCAGCGCTCCCCTCTTCTCACCACTCTACCCCCGGCCATCCAGTTCCCGGCCCCAGAATCCAATGCCATCTGCCGAAGCTCCCAGGCCTCCTTTGCTGACTGAGAGGTCGCTCATTCTGCTCCGCTGCCCCTATTATCTGGAACACCCTTGCCCCAGCCATTGGTGCCGTCGGCCCCCTGTCCCTGTTTAAGTTGAGGCTCAAGGCCTTCCTGTTCTCCTCTGCCGATAACTGTCTTGTGCTAATAGAATAAATATGCCCCACTATATGAATACCAATTGTATATTAGAACAAAAAAAATTGTTAAAAAAATGCACGTTACATAACACACATGTATACGTAACAGCAGAAGACCAGTTCGTAGACCCACTCTTAGAACAAGCGAGAATGCTCTCAAGTGACTATGAAATTAGGCCATGTGAGGTTAGATAACATTACATAATCTTTTGATTTAAAGCTTTCGTGACTGCAGAGATTCATATTCTTGGTTCTTTCGGTAAAGCCGTATAATCTTGGTGCCAAAAATACATAAAGTAGATAAACCCCTTCATCCCATCGTCCCTACTATCAACTCCCCTACCTGCAAACTGGCTCGATTTCTGTCTGAAATCTTGCGGCCTTTCACTGGAAAAACCACCTCTGCTGTACAAAATTCTACTTACCTGGTATCGACAATCAAGGGTATTTCCCTGTCCCCAGACGACCTGCTTGTCAGTTTTGATGTAGTTTCCTTATTCACCAAAGTTCCTGTACCTGACACCATCGCAATCATTGAAGACTTGGTTCATCAAGGACTAAACACTGAGGTACCCCTCCTGGTAAGACACTGCTTAACCAATACATACTTCACTTGGAATGGAAGTTTCTACAAACAGAGGGCACCCCAATGGGCTCCCCCCTATCTCCGGTTGTAGCCAACATTTTCATGGAGAAATTTGAGACTGACGCCATCCAGACTGCCACTCTGCGCCCAACCTTATGGAAGAGGTACGTGGATGACACTTTTGTCATCTGGCCATGTGGCCGGCCTGCTCTAGACCAATTCCTCGACCACATCAATTCCATACACCCAGCCATCAGATTTACCTTGGAAGTCGAAAAAGATGGCAAGCTACCTTTTTTGGATGTCCTAATAAAAAAGAGACCTGATGGTTCAATGAGCCACTCTGTCTACAGGAAAGCTACCCATACGGATGCTTACCTGAAACCGGATTCCCACCACCATCCATCCCAGAAGATTTCCCTCATCAAGACTCTGCACCATAGAGCCCAATGCATATCCGACCGGGAACACATAGCCAGTGAACTCAAGCACGTACACCAAGCTCTTAAGGCTAATGGTTATTCCGACTACACAATCCGCAAAGCTATCACTCCAACCATGAAGAAGGACCCTCTTGAGGATCCTTTCCAAACCATCACTTTACCCTACATTGCGGGGATCACAAAAAAGATCTCCAAAATCTTGAATAAACACAAGATCCAGGTCCGATTCAACACATTACATAAAATCCGTGATCTGGTTCCGTCTGTAAAAGATGTGATTCCGGACATACAGTACCCTGGCATCTACAAACTAAGTTGCCTCTGTGGTAGTAGTTACATTGGAGAAACCAAACATGTCTCGGACCGCATTCGTGAACACAAAGCAGACCTGAAACATGGTAGGACCAACACCTCGGCTATGGCAGATCACTGTTATAATTCAATAGGTTCACATGACATTGACTTCTCCAAGACAGAGGTTCTTTGCAAGCCATCTGGCTACCATGAGAGATTCGTTCATGAGGCTATCCACATATACAAACACAGAGACAATTTCAACCGAGAAGATGGATTCTGGCTTAGCAATCATTGGAAGGATTTGATAAACCATTTCGGGTCTTAATTGATTGTTCACGCTTACAGTGGCTTTCAGACCGTATCCATTATGTTCGTTTCCCCCCTCCTCTTTTCCGAACATAGATGGACTCGTCCATCTGAATAAACTGTCAAATCGCTCTCCGTGGTGCTAACGTTAAAAATAACCG